TTGTTTTTTAGATTTAGTTGTTGATATGTAGTTATTGCCATTTTATTGTTCATAGTTTTGATATTCTTTTTCTTAAATAAGTCCCTTGAACATTTCATATAATAATGGCTTGGTGATGGTGAACTCTGTTAGTTTTTTCTTGTCTGGGAAGCTCTTTACCTGCTCTTCAATTCTAAATGATAGCTTTGCTGGGTAGAGCAATCTTGGTTATAGGTCCCTGCTCTTCACAACTATGAGTATTCCTTGCCAATCCCTTCTAGCCTGCAAAAATTCTTTTGAGAAATCAGATGACAGTATTATAGGAACTCCCCTGTAAGTAACTAACTGCTTTTCTCTTGCTGTTTTTAAGATTCTCACTTTGTCTTTAACCTTCGGCATTTTAATTATGATGTGTCTTGTGGTGGGCCTCTTTGCATCCATCTGTTTGGGACTCTGTACTTACTGGACTCATATGTCTATTTCCTTTAGCAAGTTAGGGAAGTTTTCTTTCATTATTTTTTCAAATAGATGTCCAATTTCTTGCTCTTTCTCTTCTCCCTCTGACACCCCTATTATGCAAATGTTGGATCTCTTGGAAGTTGTTCCAGAGGCCGCTAATACTGTCCTCATTTTTTTGGATTCTTTTTTCTTCTTGTTGTTCTGATTGGTTGTTTTTTGCTTCCTTATGTTCCAAATCATTGATTTGATTCTCAGCTTTATCCACTCTGTTGCTTCCCTCTAAATTGTTCTTTATTTCAATTAGTGAATCCTTTGTTTCTGACTGGATCTTTTTTATGTTGTTGAGGCCTTCCCTAAGTTCCTTGAGCATCCTTGTAATCAGTGTTTGAGCTCCTCATCTGTTAGATTGCTTATCTCCATTTTGTTTAGCCCTTTTTCTGGAGTTTTGATCTGTTCTTTCATTTGGGCCATGTTTCTTTATCTCTTCCTTTTGGCAGCCTCCCTGTGTTTGTTTCTATGTATTAGGTAGAGCTGCTTTGACCCCATGTCTTGGTAGTGTGGCCTAATGTAGTAGGTGTCCTATAGGATCCAGTGACACAGCCTCCCCTATCACCTGAGCTGGGTACTCGAGGTGTACCCTTCATGTGGGCTGAGTACACCCTCCTCTTGTAGTTGAGCTTTGGTTGCTGTTGGCAGTCAATGCAAGGGATTTACCCAGGTCAGTCAGCTGCAAAGACTGGCTGTGACCACTGACCATCAGTCTCCACCCTCTGTGGAGGATCAGCTGTGCAGGGGCAGGGTCATGGTGCTCTGACGTGGTCTGTCGCTGTCCACTGGGTACACAGGCTCTGGGGTTTCTTGGGTGGTGCAGCCAAAGGTCAGCCCCCACCTGCCTTTTGCCCGGGGCCGCCCTGCCTGGGCTATAAAGCAATCTGAGATGGCTGCTACTTGTGCTGGGCTTAGAGATTCCCAGGTGAAGCCAAGTTGTGAATCTAAGCTGGCTGCTGCTAGTGCCAGGCCTAAGCTACTTAGTAAGTGGTAAAGGGTCTAGGGGCTGGCTGAGGTCAGCTGTTGCTTGTTTGATAGGATTTAGGAAGTTGTGAAGCATGAGCCAAGACCAGTCATTCATACAGAAAAATCACTGTTAACAGCTTGGGCGGACCCTGTCAGTTTGGTGGGATGGAGTCTCAGGATCCCCAGGGTAAGGCAGACAGTGTTAGCCAGATTGTTGGAGTCTCAGATATGGCACCTGCCTGTGGGCTCTGTGGCTTTGTGCAGGGGGGGTTCAGAAAAGGGACAGTGGCCTCTGCCCACCTTTCTGTCTGGGAGAAAGCTGTCCCCCAGCTCTCACCTTCATGCCAGACACTTCAGTTCCTCCCCATATGCCACTGGTGCCCTTCAAGCTGCTACCCTAGTGCTGGAGCCCAGAGGGAGTGAGTCTGAGTAAGTCTGTGTGTGGATTCTTTAAGAGGAACTGCTTGGGACTCCAGAATTTTCTTCCACCCACCCAATCACCACCAGTTTTAGCAGCCAGAAGTTATGGGGACTGATCTTCCTGGCACTGGAATCCTGGGCTGGGGGTCTGGTGTGGGGCTGGGACTCTTTGCTCCTGAGAGATCCCTCCTGAAATTTTTATCCACCACACATGGAACTCATTCTGTGTCTCAGCCCCTCCTACCAGCCTGGATGGATGTGGTTTCTTTAATTCCGTAGTTGTCAGACTTCCATTCAGCTTGATTTCTGACAGTTTTGAGTGATGGTCGTTCTATAATTTAGTTGTAATGTTGATGTGATTGAGTGAGGAGGCAAACCATGTTTACCTATGTTGCCATTTTGACCAGAAGTGACAGCCATCCAATGTTTTACCTGTTTGTATTCTTATTGTCTGCTACCAAAATATGAACTTCCTAGTGGCAATGTTTGGAATGTACATATTTTATAAATACTTGTAGAGTGACTAAACGTGGGCTCCCTGAGAACAGGGTCTGTGTCTTTTGTCTTCGTCACCCAGTGCCTGGCACGTAGTAGAAGCACAGGGTGTATAGCCTGGAGGAGAGGGAAAGCCATTGAGGGTTAATGTAACTGTAAATGTTATATTTCTACCAAGATGCGTCTTTCGGGTAGCCCCATGTACAGTTCCCTAGGTGGGGTCATGGACCTTGAGAGATGGCCCAGCCCTGGCTGGTGTGGCTCAGTGGATTGAGTGCTGGCCTGCGAACCAAAGGGTTGCTGGTTTGATTCCCAGTCAAGGCACGTGCCTGGACTGCAGGCCAGGTCCCCAGTTGGGGGCGTGCAAGAGGCAACCACGCAGTGATGTTTCTCTCTCTCTTTTTCTCCCTTCCTTCCCCTCTCTCTAAAAATAAATAGTAAAATCTTAAAAAGAGAGAGATGACCCAGTGTGACCAGCAGCAGTCCAGGAGTGTGGGGGTGAATGGAGTTGGAGGCTGTGGGCAGGGAAGCTACTGCTGTTCTTTGTGAGGCGTGAGGCCTGCACTGCTGCTGAGCAGTAGAACGAGAACTTCTCCCTGGGGTGTGACGGGGAACCGGAGGACCCCCAGCCGCCCTGAAGCCTTCTGGCCGCTGACCTTTGTGTGTCCTCTTGTTTTCTTTCCCACTTCTCAGACTCGGCAGCATCATTCTGTACTGGCTGCCTCTTAGGACATTTGGCCAATTGGTACCAATGTCCCAGAACGAAGTAAAGAGACCATTAATAGCTGGTGATTGATCTGGGCAGGAGGGATACTGTGCTTATAGCAACAACAGAACTTAATTAAAATCACTGGGTCTGGCAGAGATTGAGATGCTGCCTTGGTGCCCGTAGCTTCCAGGTGGCCACTTCTGTGCTACACGTACATTCTGAAATTCATGGTTTGTTTTGGGTGACATGCCTGGATGATAATTATGTAAATTTTCCTCTGAAACTTAATTTCACAGTCAAAAAAGTCTTGTTATATTTATCTCTTAAATCATTAGGAAATAACAATTAGACCAAAAATGGTTTAAAATGTTTCTGTATTAATAATTTTTAGCTTGAAACCGCTGCTGATAATTGATTCTCAGAATTGATACAGGGAACTGTCTTGGGAGATTCTAAATAAAAAGTCCCCTTTTGTGCTTGACTAGAGAGAGTGGTTTGCACTGTCATTTGCTTCGCTGTAGGTGCACAGGTGGAGCAGAGGGTTTTGTGTGGCGATCCCGCTAGGGTCTCTGTGATGGACAGTGGTAGTTAGGCGCTGTGGAGGGCTTACTCTGCAGGCTCCATTATCCCTTTGCTGTGTGAACTCATTTAGTGACAGCAGTAGGTGCTGTTACTCTCCCATCCTGCAGATGAGGACCAGGTAACTGACCCAAAGTTAAGGAGCCCATCAGTTCTGGAACCAGAAGTGGAGCCCAGATAGTCTGACTCCAGACCCCGCAGTTTTAAACCACTCTGTCATACTGCTTCCATTTATTAAGCACCTACTGAATGTCATGCCCTGAATAGAACTAGCCCAAGTGTATCTTCTCATCAGTGCAGATGTGATTCATACTATAGAAGAGGAAACCAAGGCTTAGAGAGTTAATCGTTTTGCCCTGGCTGGTGTGGCTCAATGGATTGAGTGCCGGCCTGCATACCAAAAGGTTGCTGGTTGGATTCCTGGTTCCTGGCACATGCACAAGAGACAGCCATACAATGATGTTTCTCTTCCTCTCTTTCTACCTCCCTCCCTCTCTGTCTAAAAATAAATTTAAAAAATTAAAAAAAAAGAGTTAATAGTTTGTCCTCAGTCATTTCTTCTTCTTTCCTTTCTTCCTCTCTCCCTCTCTCTCATTTCTCCCTCCCAATGCTTCCATCCCTCCATCCCTCCTATCCCTCCCATCCCTCCATCCATCCCATCCATCCCATCCATCCGTCCATCCATCCATCCATCCATCCATCCCATCCATCCATCCATCCATCCATCCCATCCCTCCCATCCATCCATCCCTCCCATCCCTCCCATCCATCCATCCATCCATCCATCCATCCATCCATCCATCCATCCATCCATCCCATCCCTCCCATCCATCTATCCCTCCCATCCCTCCCATCCCTCCATCCATCGCATCCCTCCATCCATCCCTCCATCCCTCCCATCCTTCCCATCCTTCCCATCCCTCCCATCCAGCCCATCCATCCATTCGTTCAGCATCTGTTTACTGAGAGTTTAATATGCACCAGGCATCATTCTAGTCCCTGGAGCTACCTCAACGATCAAGGTAATTGTCAAAAGGCAAATGTGATTCTCATTCTCATGATACTTATTTTCCAGTGGGAAAAGACATACAATAACCTATAAATAAGAAAATTCCAGATAATAAGTACCAATTAAAATAGGTGATGTATAGGTAAACACGGCTCACCTCTTCACACAACCACATCAAAATTACAATTAAATTACAGAACACCCATCCCTCAGAACTGTCAGAAATCAAGTTGAATGGAAGTCTGACAACTACGGAATTAAAGAAACCACACCCATCCAGACTGGTAGGAGGGGCAGAGAAGTGGAATGGGTTGGTCCTTTATCCATGTGTGGTAGATAAAAATTCAGAAGGGATATCTCGGGAGCGAGGAGTCTGGTAACTCCCAAGAGACAGAGAAACTGAGGACAACCTTCTTTGCAGTTCCCATGGAAGTTATGGTGTTTGACATGAATAGGGGCCACCAGAGCAAATGGTGACTATAAACATCATTCAGTCTCTAGAGGGTAGAGTCAGGGGTGGGATGGGGATGAAGTTTGCGGGAACTCCTGCACCAGACCCCCCAGTGATCTAAGAAATGTTTCATATTTATTTATTTCTCCATTCATCCTCACTTGAGGACATTATTGATTTTAGAAAGGGGGAGGGAGGGAGAGAGAGGGAGAGAAACATTGATTCAAGAGCGAACATTGATTGGTTGTCTCTCATAGGCGCCCCAACGGGGGACCAAACCCACAACCCAGGCATGTGCCCTGACTGGGAATCAAACCCGCAGCCTTCTGGTCTACGAGATGTTGCTCCGGTCCGCTGAGCCACACCAGCCAGGGCTGTTTCCATTTTTGGACAGTGAAGGCCTGTGACTCTTTCCCACCCCGGGATACCATGACATCATCATATCCACCATGTCTTCTGCTTTAACAGTGGATACGATTGTTAATGACAGGGATGCCAGAATAATCTGACTTGAAATGCTGTAGGATGAGTGGTTTTGGTTTTTTTCAAAGCAGCAGGTTTGCCTTGCTGACCGTATGTGTGACTTAGGTGATAAAGTTAGCGGAGTGGGAAGACGAAGTTTGGCATGTGTTAAACACAGGGAAGAGTGATTTGGAGATTGAAAACGTGTCCTGGGTTTCGGACACTCCACAGTGGCATCATGTAGAGGTTCCTGAAGCAGCTGGCAGACTCGGGACCAGCACAGGGAGGGCTCCGGCCTGTCTCTGTGGAGTCCCTGGTCTGTTTTTGTTTCTCTCTGGACCACCCCTTCCCAAACTCTCGTGTGCCCCTCTGCCCCACTGGCATGGTGCTGCCTCTGTTCTGCATTATGCACTTGTCCCCACCCTGGAGGAGGTAGACCTGACCCTCCTTCTGCGCAGGGTGACTGTCCTGCTCGGACCCGCCCTGCATCCTCCAGGACCAGTGTTGCTCAGACTGTTCACTCATTCACTCCCTTCTCTGTGTTCACTGCTTTCCCCCCCTGGAGGCCCCTTCCTCGTGCTGCTCGTGAGGGAAAGCCCCCGGGACCTGAGATGGCTGGCCACCCGACGGGCAGCAAGGTGGCGCTGCTGGTCCTCAGGCCCTGTTCTTCTGGGCCATGCACATCACGGAGGTGTGGGCTCGTTGGTGACCCTCCTGGGCTTAGTGTCCTCTCACACAGCCGTCCTGGGGTGAGCGTGGTGATGGCCGGTCAGTGGTGGACTCGAGAGTGACCACAGTGTGATCTCTGGGTTCCGTGTCTTTCTCCCTCCCACCTCATGCCTTGGCTTCCTTGGGGCAGATTAGTGGTGCTGGCGTAGCAGGTGACATCTGCAGAGACAGCTATGTGATGTGAGGCAGGCAGTGAGGCCCGTTGCGCGTATGCCACCTACAGACTCTGCACCAGAACTTGCAGGTGCTGTTCTGCACCCAGGCCAAGACTGAGGAGCAGCAGCCCTACCTGCCCGACTCAGCCATGTGGCGTGGGAGCTGCTGTCTGGTCCGGTACCAGCTGGGCGATTGTGGGTGGGCCTGGAACAGGTATGTGCCAGGCAGGGCGGTATAAGAGAGGCCAGCGGACAGAGCCACTGCCTTTTCTCGTCCCTCACTTGGACTCTGGTTTCCTTCCTGCTGCTTCCTCTCTCAAGATCTCTGATTATTATCACTTCCCTGACCTAGGGAGGAGAAAAGCAACGGAAACACTCTGCTCCTGTTAGCCTTGACCTTTAAGCCCTCTTCGTCGAGGACCACTGTGCACGACACCAGGCAGAACAACCCTCCTTTCCCTCCCTCCCCCTGACCAGGTGCTGGGTAGTGGACACGGTGGCTACCTGGGCCGTGGTCATGGTCATCGACTGCAGCTGGGCGGCTACCATCCTGGCAGAATCCCTGCGCAGCCTGGATAGTGATGACTTAGGGACCGTCCCGCCTCTGGCTCAGCCATTCATTCTGGAGAAAGGTGAGGTGCCCTCCACCCTCCTGCTGAGGTTCAGGGATGGGAGGTGCTGTGCCTGCCTCCAGGACCTCAGCTGGGCCTGGCATGGGGCAGCCAAGGCCCCAGGGTGCCCTTCAGCCTCCGTTCGTTTGGTCTTACCTCAGTTTTTGGCATCTGCCCCTCGCAAAACTGCCTCTTGAGTATTAGTTTTCACACTTGGGCTCCATGGGCCCCAGCAGGTGCTGTCCGGAGCCTGAGCTCTCCGGGTGCAGGGAGGGAGGGCAGTCTTCCTACTTGCCCCTGCTTCTGCCAGAGCTGCCCTGCTGCCATCTGTTTTATGTACATTGAGTTTTGCTAAAGATTTCATTGGAAAAGGATTCTGTTATAGAAGGAAAGCAGAATTTGAAAACCAGTGCTAGGGTTTAGAGCACTTAACTCCAGGTCTTCTCCTGATGTGCTATTGTTCCCTTCGACCCAGACACCTGTTGGGGCCTCAGACTCCACACCTGAGAAATGGAGGAGCCCCTTGTTTGCTCTGCTCCTTCTCAAGATTGGGTAGGTGAGCTGTGGAAGGATGAAAGGATGCTGTGGGAGATCAGGAGGAGGAGGAGAGGTGAAGGCACACGCACATACGCACACACAAATACCCCCAAAATGCAGGCCCAAGGCCCCCTGGGAGGCTGAGGACAATGGTGCCTTGTGGTCAGGGGCGCCACCCACAGGTCGGTTTGTGTCATTGCATGAAGAGGACCCCGCTGCCCTGCCTGCCGAGTAACAGGCGCACGGCCAAGGCTCTGGAGTTGGAGGCAGGCTGAACCTGACTGCTGGCCCAGGGTAGAGGCTGCCCCTGCCCTGAAGAGCCGCTTCCAGCCCGTCGGAGGGGCCAGAGTGCCCGCCCCAGATACGGAGTGTGCTCAGCTCCCATGGGGACTTGGAGGCGGTCCTGAGAGGTCAGGCAGGCGGATGTGCAGCCCTCCCTGTATGGATGAGGAAAGTAAGGCTCAGAAAAGTGAAAGGAACTTCCTGGCCTCTCATAGCAAGGAAATGGCTGGGGATAGGAATGAGATCTAACTTTCAATATGGCCATACATACAGTTTCATGCATACAGACAGTCCCAGAGTTTGGCAGGATGGCAGGAGCTGAGTAAGGGAAGACTTCTTTGTTTTTTTAAATGAAATTGCATTTAAAAAAAAAAAATTTTTATACCTTTATTTTTTGAGAGGGGGGAGGGAGGGAGAAAGGGAGAGAAACATCATTGTGTAGTTACCTCTTGTGTGTCCCCTACTGGGGACCTGGCCCACAACCCAGGCATGTGCTCTGACTGGGAATTGAACCAGTGACCCTTTGGTTCGCAGGCTGGCACTCAAACCACTGAGCCACACCAGCCAGGGTATAAGGGAAGACATTTTGACCAGTGGCCTGCCCTGCCTTGTCCTAGCATGTAAGAATGCTCTCTTGCCATGGTGAAAGCGCTTCTGCTTCTAACTCTCTCTGCAGCCCAACTGCCCAGAGCAGAGTTGAACAGTTTTTGGTCCCCAGAATTTCCCTTTAGAGAATGTAAAATGCCAGACCCATGTAATTATTCTAGCAACAATAATAACATCACCTCCTTTTATACGCTCTTACTATGCCCTCCCCCCTCCCACCTTTCCAGCGTTTATCTCACTCTATCCTGGCAGCAGGGAGTTAGCACCAACGAGCAGAGACTTGTCGCAGGAGCTGGTCCGCAGCCAGAGCAGTTTCCCACAGCCCCGGCCTTGCACGTCCCTCCCTTACTCCTCCTGCCTGACCCAGTGCCACCAAGGTTTTGTTGTTGTGTTTTGTTTTGCAGGCATTTTGAATTCAAATCAGGTGATCTATCACATCCTCAATGGGAACATCACTGGTGCTTTAAACTTGGAGGTAACTACCCCTGTATTTAATTCAGCCCTCTCCTTCCCCTCCCACCCTGGGGGTCCCAGCTGCAGGCCACTGCCAAGGCCTGGATCTGTGGGTTTACCTGGCATTAGCCTTCAACAAAACAAACTGAAGTTATCCAAGGTTTTGGGTGGACTGGCTGTGGGCGATCCTTCTTTCCCACTGAGACTTTCTCTTTCTCTTCCATTTGCACACCCTCAAGTTTGAAGAGTTTAAATAACTTAGATAGCGTGGCCAGCATCAGCCCCTTCATACTCAGCCTGTTCTGCCCTGTTGTCCCCTTCCGTTCTTGTCTTTTTCAAATCTTCACCAGAGGAAGGGAAGGAGGGACGGGGGAGGCATTGATGTGAGAGAAACATCAATTTGTTGCCTCCCGTATGTGCCCCAAATGGGGATCCAACCTGTAACCTTTTGGTGTATGGGACGAAGCTCCAAACAACTGAGCCCACCCAGCCAGGACTCCCCCTTCCATTCTTGAGGCTTTGAGGGTGAAAAAGGCCACATCGGTGCTCCAAATTGATTTGATTCCTATTTGCCTGTACTCTCAGCTCGTCTCTCAGAAAAATGAAGTCTCTCAATTTGTCATGTGTTTTTAGTTCCCCACTCAGCATGAACATCTGAATCAAACTTCGGAAGGTTACATAGAAAGCTGCAGGGGGCCATGTATTTCTTTTTTCTGTTTTGTGCCCCCAGAGCATGATATAAATTGCCCGAACAGACTCTGGAGAATGGAGGGGCCCACTGCTTGACTCGCCCGGTATTCCATTGTAGAATCAGGTGGGGAGCATTTAACCAGTGAGCCATCACCATGATGAACAAGGTTGGCATGTTTCCCGGGTGTGGGGTGACTGGTCCCAGTGTGGCCACCCCTCCCCGGCCCTGCCCTCTCCGGCCACGCAGCAAGATGAAGCTGCTGCGTGCCTCAGGTGCCCACTCAGCTCCGGTGTGACCTTTAGCCTGGGAAAATGCTGCTTGGGATTAGGTTCGTTCACACTTGAGGTATAGGATACCGACCTAACAGCTGGTTTCATGTCTCCTTGCCTTCTTGGGAGAAAATGGATTCAGGATCACATGGCAATGTTGATTCTATGATTTGTAACTTCATTAGAAACCATTTACACTTAAGGTCATAAAAGGGAACGTTAGGTTCGACAAGTGGAGAGTTCTCTGGGAGTCAGGGTACAATTTACAGGAGCTGGTGCTACCCTTTATGGCAGGGGAACATGGACCCCGTTATTTCTTTAAAAAATTTGTTTAGAGCCAAACTATTTAAATAATTTTATTTGTTTCATCCTTTGGTAGATGAGAAAAATACATTACAAAATACATTATACAGAGGACAGCTCACAGTACACATTACTAAAACACAATCTACATTTCAGCCAGGGCTGGTGATAAGTTCAGAAGAAAGCCACAGAGGCCTTGGAAACCAGATTTCAGCTCTGGGGTCCCCACTTTATCTAAACCTTAGCATTTTTTAGCACCCCATGGCAGGTGGGTGTGGGTAGAGTTAGAGCAGCATCGAGGGGGCTGTTGAACTCTCTATCCACCTGAAGCAGCAACACATTAATCCCTTAACAGAAAATGGGGGGAAATGACCAATGTTAAAACAAAGCATTACAGAACTCCTGATATCCCACAGGTTCCCAGGCAGCTGTCTCAGGTCTGGGCTTTCTGAGTCTAGCGTCTTCATTTAGCCATCTCTGGCTTTTGTCATTGTAGTCATCATCCAGTCTGTAGGCATAGTCTGTCCCTAAGAGCCTGTGTCAACCCCAAAGCAAGCTGACCAGGGGAGGCAGGCAGCTCATGTCACACAGACACCATGATGCCTGTACTTTTAAACAGCATGTACAGACAACACACCGACAGTTCGAGCTCAGCAGATTTCCCGCCTCACTCTCCCTTTCCCCCAGCAGTTCCCAGAGCCTGGGGCAAGGACACAGGTATATACAACAACCCCCTTAAAGCTAACCTTCTCAGAGGACCCACCTTACAGGAGTGGCTTGAAAGAATCCACAATTCTTCAAGCTAAACAATTTCAGAGTTATGCCTGCTTTCTCTTACAAGACCAAGCAAAGCAAGAGATAGGAGGGTGAGCAGAGACACTACCCACATGCTCCCTTCAGTGCTAGCTAGAAACCCTTTCCAGGGAGGGAGGGACCAGCCAACACCAGCGTTGTAGCATGCTGAGACCAGCGTGACCGAGCACACACTTGAGACTGTGCCCCCAACTCTACTCAATTCATTTAAAAGCAATTCTGTGAAACAGCCTCTTAAGCACCTTCCCAATTTTTTCTTAGAAATTTGAAAGCATCTGTGACTAAAAGAGAAAAATAGTCCTAAGAATTAAGGTTATCATTTCAGCCTGCTACACTGCTGTTCAGTGGGCCAGGCTCTGCATGCCAAGGGGGGCAAATGCTGGTCACTCCATAGGCCTTCAGAAGAAATCTGAGCGCCAGGCATGTGCTTCAGCTCCACCTTTCTCTGGCTTTAGTGGTGAAGTGCAGCCTCTCATCTCTACCCCTCCCCCACCACCCAAGTAGTTCAGGGGATGGGGGTGGGGTGGGATGTTGGAATAAAAATAAAGATGAGTCAAGACTAGCATCTTCAAATTAACAAACTGTAATTGTTTTCCCAAAGATACATTTTTTCATACACATCCATCATACACTGTAACCAAAAAAAGCAGTGTACATGAAATAAGAGAAAATAAATTAAAAATCCATAGCATAGGTAAAGGAGGCTCTAGTCTGGAGCACAGCTGAGTTTCCAGCAATATAAGGAGGCTCGAAAGTTTCTTTTATAAGAATGCCTGCTAGCAAGGGTTCCAGCCAGGTGGTTGGTTGGTCTGTACGTCAGTCTTGAGTACTTGAAACAGTTGTGTGTGTATGGTTTGTTTGTTTTTCCATAGCGTTTAGAATAGCCATCATTGTCCTGCAATAGGCAGAGCTATTACGTCCAGGAAAAATGAGGGAGGGAACCACAGAGGCAGCGTAAGATCCAAATACAGCATTCAAAGGTAATTGGTCCAGTGGTGCCTGGGGAAGGAGGAAGGGGACGACACTCCGGGGTTAGCCATCTTCCTTTGGGGGTGTGTACCATCCTGCAAAGAAACCCAAGAAAACATGAGGTGGAGGCTGACGTCCCTGCTCCCAGGCCTGATCACTGAAGACACCTCCAGGATTACAGGTCAAAGAGCCTAGGAAGGGCTTCTCAGTGTGGGGGGAGGCGTGTGGGACGCTGAGAAACTGCCCACCTGGAGATCATAAGGAAGGGGAGAGTGACATGCCCAACCTGAGGTGACAGAAGAGTGAGGTGAGCTTTCTCAAAGGGTGGTCGGGAAGAGGGGCAGCACCAAGTCCACACGTGGAATGATCGTTGGTGCTTTTCTGGGAGAAGAGGTTGTGGAGATAGCCACCTCTCCAGCCCTTCTTTGGAGAACAGGGGCAGATGCTGTGGTATTGGGTGGCAGAGGCTCAGAAACCAAAATGGGGTTCTTGCTATTTAGCTGGAAGTGAAAACCTCAGGGCTTCCAAGTGTCCGAATCTTGAATTCTGCCTTCAGCCTCACCGTTTTTTTCGTGGATCTGCACCAAGGACTTGTAGGACTGCTGTGCTCTTGTCAGACTGTATTGAGACTGGGGAGAGGAAGCCACCAAATCAGGCCATGGACAGCTATGGCCTTATGCCCCTCACCTTCCACAGGTTCCCACCCAGAGTCCCAGGAGTCCCCACTCCAGACCTTGTGCTCTGTTAACACCTGGAGGTCCCTTTCTGGTGCAATCCCATATCCTTCCCTTTCCAGACCTGTGACCTCTTCAAAATCTTAGGAGGTCCCTCAGGCCAAGGCCTGACTCCTGTTCCCCCTGAGGATGTCCCAGGCCCACTCATCAGATGCCACTAGCCCAGAGGGCTTATCCTCTTGGCCTGCTAGAGGCCCAAACTATATCTGGCACCAGCCAGTGGCAGCAGCCCCAGGCCCAGGTCCTTACTTTGTTGGCTCCAAACTGTACTCGTGCTTTTCCCTTCACCAGTGTGGCGCTGATCTGCATAATCACTGACTCTATGGAGTAGGCACTGCTCCAGCCCTGCGGAACAGGGAGAGACAAAGCAAACAAGTCAGGAGAGTTCCCCGAAACCCTACACTTGTTCTCTAGCAAGGAAATGCACCTATGGAAGGGCCCTCCCCCTTCACTCCTGGAACAGCTGTCACCTGTTTGCCTAGGTCAATGGGTGCAGGCTCTGCTGGCAGAATGAAAGGACCACATTATGCCCATCACCCAGCCAGTGGGGGTGGTGTGTGGTAAAGCACGGCTGAACTCTGCCCGTGCCAGCCTGGCCAAGAGCAAGAGACAGGCTCACCTGTTTGGTGAGAAGTTCCATGCAGATGGCACCTCCGCCCAGAACATACCTGCAGAAGAAAGGTTAGTCAGCTGTGCCGGGTAAAAGCACCACGCCCCTTTCTCACTCTCTGTAACAGGAGCTGCCCTTGGCCACTCACCCTCCGGAAAGGACTGGAGACACAACCCTGACAAACGGTGGGTCAAAGGGAAAGTTATCCTGTGAGAGAGACAAAGGCAACAATTGGGGAGGGGAGGCCAGTATCCACCACAGGGCTGTGCAGTGGAGAAGGAGGCCTAGGCCACAGAAGGAGGGACAGGAAGGGACATAGTCTTACTTTAAAGGAAAAGTTAAGTAGGATGAAGTCTGCGCCTTCTTTTTCTTTGAGGATCTGGAGATCGTTGTGCAAAGCGCTGTCCTGGTCAACTCTATGAAACAGGGAATCTGGGCTCAGACCCCTGGCCCCAGCTTAGGAGCCTCAGGACAGCTCCCCCTCCCCCAGGTTAGCAGCAGAGGGACACCGCCTACACCTGCTCCTGGCACTGCCCAAGAAACTCCCAGCTCAGTGGCTCCACACATACTATGCCTCAACTTCCTTTCCAGTCCCAGAATCCTCACTCACTTGAGGAGTTTGACATTCCAATCATACAGACTGTCATTCACGAGTTCAACTGCATAGTTTCCTGGAAGGCGGAAGAAGATAGGTGTTAGCAGGATGGTCCGGGTTGCAGATCCCTCTCCCAGGCTGAGAGGAAAAAGTATTAAAGACTCTAGGTTCACCCGTGATGGACATGTAGCCAGAATAAGTCACGGGCTTGAGGAGCTCCATATGGCCTGAGAAGTTCATAAGCATTCGTGTATGTTCTTCCCTATGAAAAGGTCCTGTTCGGGCCCCTCCCTGAGGCCAACTCACCACCTTTGAAACTCTGTGATCGGTATATATCCCTGAGCTCCTTCATCAGCCGGTCAGTGGCCTGCACCGAGCCAGACACTGCCCCCTGCAGGGGAGCAAAGACAGAAACAGCTCAATGGTCACACAGTTTGGAAACACATACTAGACCCCAGGGGCAGTCTGGCGGCTTGCTTAGGATTTAAGCAATGGTTAGGCAAACCCGTGACACCTCAAAAAGGAATCTGCTCCCAAGACTGATGGGTGTGGCCTGCCTGTACCCACCACCCCCTTGGCCCAGCCTCTCCCTAGAAGGTACGTACATTTAAGTAATCTTGCCTCTGGTTCTTTTTAATTTTCTCTAGTATGGCCAAGTTTTCTTTTCCAATGCCATCATCTTCAGATTTCTTGCCTTCAGCTGGTTCTTCCTCTTTCATTTCATAGTGATCTAGGTCTTCTGTGTCCTGGGGGAGGTATGGAGTGGGAGTGGGATAGAGAAAAAAACACCAACACAGGTTGTGGAGAGGGGCCATCACCTTTCCAGTCCTACTTGGTCTAGAGCTGCAAGTTAAGGAACAGTGGTCTATCTAGGAGGCTAGAAACACAGCACCCTGTTTCTGCAACAATTTCCAGCCCTACTCCCTCCACAATCTAAAATGCAAGGCAAATCTCCCCTCCCATTCAGTTCTCCAGCAGAACTATCAAGGGCCTAGCGAAAGCAAGCAGGGAGGACTCAGTCGTCTTGTTTCCCAGAATGACTCCGCTCCAACTGTTTCTAAAACTCTCCCTTGGCAGCAGCAGCTCTTAATTCCTAGAATGACTTTGGCTTGACACTGTGACTCAAAGCTCATGTTTCACCAGGTGACTATTGTACACAGGAGTTCTCAGGACTCCAGGTCTAAAGGAGAAACCTGTATCAGAAACCTCATGGCCTCCCAGGTGCATGACCTGATTCAAGATACACAGAGGCACCCACTGCCAGGAGGGAAATGAGGAAGGAGGTCCAGGGAGGGAGATGGTGGACGTCAAGAATAGAACCAGCCCCTTACTCACCCTGCTCTAACTGAGCAAGCAGTTCACTGTGCATGGGGGAAGAGCCCATATTTGAGATTCCAACCCTCTATTAGATGCTGAAGGGACGGCACAGAGGGCTTGCTACTCTGACAGGAATAAGTTTCATGTATTACAAGTTCTTTATGTGTCTTCAGTCTCTAATAAAGTTATAGAACCTGAGACATTAATCCAGTGCTAGGACACAAAGTGATCAGAGCAATCTCCTGACTCTAGCAGGACATGGTAATACCTCCTAATTTTTACATCAACTGACACCTGATGAACTTTCGGTACCATACAAGATGCCAGATAAACGCTAGCTCAGTTAATTCTTATAACCACCCTCCATTCCCATTATCCCCATTTTATGGATGAGAAAACTGAGGTCTAGTGAGGTCAAGTCTGGTATCCAAAGTCACACCTCTAGCGGGCTAAATTGTGAATCAAATTCGCTCAGGCTCTGAAGCTCAAGTTCTTAATTGTAATGTTACATTCTGCAAAAGTATCTTTTTAGAAAATAGATAAGTGCAAACTTATGCACTGCATGAAACATCTTATGTGCAATGCCTTATTTAATCTTCAAGACAACCATATATAGTAGATACATAATTCTGCTTTATAAATAAGGAAACTGCAGCTTAGTGATCTAGGTAAAGTTCTCCAGTTAAGATAGGCTCCAGACTCCAACTGAGGTCTGACTCCAAAGCCATCTGAAACTACATTGTTGCTATTTGGTGTAAACACATTTGCACTTAACTGTCTTCAGTGGTTGGATGTGGGTGCCCTGTCTCTATTACACTGGCCATTCTTCCAGGTCAGTAAATCTGCCTTTACTCCTTTGGCATTTTTCTCTCCCAAGTTCTAGACTGGAGTTCGTATACTGTGGGTGCTCAGTGCTGCTGACCAAAAGAGCTTCCTGCCAATGCTGCCTCAGGTGGCAAGCCTACCTCGGGCATCTCTTCATCTTCATCTTCTGAAGACACGTCTTCCTGTGTGCACTGTGGTAGGGAAAGGAAAGGAGATAAGAGCCCAGTGGCTTCCCCGAATGCAACCTCTGACCTACTCCCCTGGGCCTCCAGGTCTAGAAGCTATATGCCTGTCCATACTGCCGCCAGCCTCTCCACCAGCCACATCTGAGTGGAAGCAACAGCTCAGGGAACGACTTCACTAGCAGCCCATTGCTCCTACCATATGCCAAAGAATGAAAAAGCAAAATGGCTGTTTCTGTCACCCACCTCGAGATCACAGTTTAATTTCCACAAGAATGCCTCTTTTACTTAGTTGTCTTCAGATTGATTATTGCTTTCTTGGTTTTTAACAAGGGGCTTGAGACCTTAATGGCAACCAACTGCTACTGGTAAAAATCTCCCCCTTCTTCACATGAGGGATACTGCCCCTGACAGTAAGTTTTGATAAGAAGCTCTCCTATCAGGGTCCCATTTAAGCTAGATTCCCATCTGCAGAAGAGTCCAAGAATCACAGTATGTATGTGTTTGGAGTGGGCAGGAGTGAAGAGAAACTACTGCAGATTTGTCTCAATCCACATGAGCACTGCCTGAGGGGAAGCTGCGCAAGGCCCAAAGCTCCTGAGCTGCTCACCTGCTCTGCTGGCAAGGGCTGATCCAGCATCTCCACATCTGGATGCTGAGGGAGGTTATAGAGTTTACACAGGTCGGAGATGATCCTCTTCAGGTGCTGCAATAGCTGGGGGTAGGGGACCACAGTGACATCAAATACTCCTTTCCCACCCGAATCTGGACTGGTACATGGGTGAGCTCTTAGCTCAGACCCCAAATTGGTACCTAGTTCCCTAAACTTTATGGGCCATGAGGCTGTGGGAGGAGTGTACTGGGCCAGTCCTGGGACTGGTGCAGGTCTCCCTCCTGGCTTCCTTACATAAGCAACTCCCCTAAGAAGTCCGCCCCTATGTTCAACCTACTGCACCACCCACTTTCCATATACATTGCCCTTTCACAGATTGTCTTCAAGACACAGGCCCCACCTCAACACCCTGGCCCCTCACCAGAGTATTCCCTTTCTTTATGTCCACCAGCCTCTCCAACACAGCAGCCAAGTTAGGGTCATCAGACTCCACCGACCAGATTGGGGGCACAGCAGGGTATGACTCCTAATGGGAAAAGAGCAGGGAGAGCCGTCAAGATGGGCAGCTGTGGGAAAGGCTAGATTTTGCCTGCCCTCTGCTCCCCAAAATTCCTAGTCCCTCTGCTCTTCCCCCAGCTCAGCAGGTCAGTATCTAACCAAGCAGCTTTCCAACAAATCCTAGACTATAAGAAGGGAGGAATGGATCATCTCACCACAATAACACTGATGTGAAAAAAAGAGACTACAGATCACTTTCGTTTTAGCTAGGGAAGGAGGCATTAAAAACTAGATTGTATCTCCAGAACCTAAAAGTGAAAAGGCAGCAGGCAGAATTTCCACACCCCACTCCCAACAGGACACCTCAAAGGCCCATGCTCCCCAGCACTCCCTTGGGAACCTGCCACCCTCTTCGTCCAGACGTAGGCTGTAGGGCTCCACATGGCAGGCTGGAAGAAAGAAGCCTACGCTGCTAACATTCCCAGCATTCCTGAGCCATGGTGCCAAATGCAGCCTGACCAGACTCCCCCTCTGCCTCAACCAAGGGGGCCAGTTCAGGCCAAGTCTCCCTAACAGGGGCCACAGAATCTGAGAATCGTCTAAATTAACTTCCTTTCAGACACAAAGACAGTAGGTGGCCTCTGGCAACTGGAAGGGTAGCTAGAAGGGGGCAAGCCTAGCCTTAAGGGATTAGAAACAATTTGGCAACAAAATTAACTCCTGAGGTTTCTACACGTGCCAATGAAACCATATCCACGTTTACCACTGGGGATTTTAGCTCTGCCAGGGCTCTAATCCTCAATGCTGAAGGAAAACAAATTACTAAAGATGCTCAAGTCTTCACCTAAGCCACACCTTGTCCTTTAATCTTAACTTTTTACTTTAGTAAGAAGAAAGGTGGTGGTGGTGGTGGTGGTGGTCAGTGGACGGGGCGGGGATGGGAATGGAAGAAAGAAAAGTGGGACACGTGAATTTTGGTGGGGCACCATCCCATCCGAGCTGAGGCTTGCCTCACCAAACCTTGACCTGGTTTGATGGAAGAAAGGGATAGAAAACAGGAACCAGGTAAAATAAGTTCAGGCCCCAAAAGTACTACACAATTCACAAGTCTGTCTTTCCCCAGACTACTACCATTTGCAGTCTGCCTGCCTGGATGAAGTGCTGTCCCCTGGCTCCTTAACCGATGCCTGGGAGACCACCACCACAGCATGCAGCACCAACCACTGCAAGTGCTATACCATGCAGCAGCAGATCTTCCTGGATTACCAGAGGCCAACTGTCTTCAAGGGATCTATGAGGGTGGACTAGGCAAGGAGACATGTAGGATTCTCCTAGTCCAGCATGCCTACGGTGGAATGATGTTTACTGAACAGAAGAGAAACTGTTACTGCTTAGAATGGGACAGCCCTCAAACATTACCAACCACCATTACTAGGAAAGGTAACAAACTACCCAGGACAATTGGATACAGACAGGGAACAGGAGGGGAGTGGCAGATCTGCTACCAGCTGGGGCAAAGGAGAGTTAGAGGTTACACCAGAATAAAAGGGAATCCAAAGGAAAGGAAGAAGAGTCAGGGTACTGGAAACTATCACTTGGTAGAATTCAGAGAGCAAAGAGGGGTGCATGAGAGATGCCTGGGCAGGGATCCCACAGGTGGCAACATCCTAAGTTAAAGGTACTATTAAGAAGGGGGCATCACTGAAATGTGCAGAGTTCGCAGCCAAGTCGTTCCAGCTGAGGTCAGTGCAGAGGCCTGAACCTTGAGATGAGAGTGAGGGGGAAGAAAAGGGCATTCGGAAGTGGCAAGGTAAAGTGGTGGAGTACCCAAAATCATGAACCTTGGGATGTGGGTGGGTTAGTGGAAAGGGGTAGTGGAGGCGCCATATGTCGGTGTCTCTCACTATGAAGGATCAATGGTAGAGATTCCGGGTGCTTGGCAGAACGTCAAGTGGCAGAAACAAATGTAACCTGGAGAAAAGGAGCCAGCTCCAACAGGGGATTCGGCCTCCCAGGTCTTTTGAGATCAAAAAGCTGTGCGGGGTGATCCTGAGTCCCTGACAAGGGGCCCCCCCGAGAGGCGCACGCAAGGGGGTCCTCACCGTAATGTTGCAGTGGATGCGGACGGGATCCCCAGGCACCGACCCCCGTGCGGGGAGATGCGGTCCGGGCGCGGCCCCCGCCCCGGCCCCTCCAGCCCCAGCCAGCAGGAACTCGCAGCTCAGCTCGTCCAGGCAGGCGCTGGCAATGCGGAAGCGCTCGTGGCCGCGGTGGAAGATGGACTCGAGCAGCTTCAGCTCCCGCCTCAGGCAGGGCCCCGGCCCCGGGCCCCCGCCTGGGCCGCCCCCGGCCCCCGGCGCCGCCCCCTGGCCCCCCAGCTGCTGCCCCGGCCCCGGCTGCTGCTGCCCCTGCGGCTGCGGCTGCTGCATCCTCCGCTCCGCTCCGTTCCGGGGCCGGCGGGCCGGGAGCCTCCGGCCTCCGCTCCGGGCTCCGCCGCCGCCGCCGCGCCGCCGCCGCCGCGGTCCGCACTTCCTGATCCCCCCTTCGCCAAGATGGCGCCGCCGCCACCTCCGGGACAGGGTCCCCCCTCCGCTCGCCGTACCCCCCCCAGCCGCCGGAAGCCGCGCGCCTCTCCTCCTCCTCCTCCTACTCTGCAGCCCCGCCTCTGGCCTCCCTCACGTGACCTCCCCTCGCTGGCCTCCTTCACGTGATCTTTCCTTCTTTTCCCGCCCCCTTGTTCTCGATTGCCGCTCTTCACATGTGACCCAGGGCTTTGGGCTCGCGGCTTTCAGTGCTTCAGTGCGTGTTTACGTATGGCGTGAGTGCGTGCGCGTGACGGCCCTCGCTCGCTCTCCCCTCTCACATGACCCGGCGCCGCGTGCTCCCAGGGGCTACCCGCGCGGGACACCGTTTCCTGCTCTGGGGCCTTTTCCCTGCCTCTTTCCATCGCGGCCAGCGTGCTGGTTGCTCGGTTGGCAGAGAAGAGAGAGTGGGAGCAGCTATGGCTCCGGTGCCACCTTAATCCTGCCTCCCCCCACCCCCACTGGTCCTCGTTGCAGGGTCCCCGAGCCCTTGCTCCTGTGGGGGTGTGCATGCTCTGTCGTCACACTGAATGAGGGGCGTGTGGTTTGGGAAGGAGCCAGGGACCCAGTCACGAGTCTTGGATTCTTGTCCTGGCCATGCGGCTAGTTCGTTGTGTGACCCTGTGTTAACCATCCGTGCAGTGACTGATGCGAGTAATATCTGTTGTGCCTACTCCCAAAGATTCGATTCCAAGAGACCCTGAACAGTCGTGTCATGTATGAGGCGTCGTCGATAGCTGACCCTTCGCACTTACCAGACCCAGGGGGTCTGGACAAGGTTGGGGGAGGGGCAGTGGAATCGAAGTAGACAGGCCCTGCGGGGAAGTTTGACCGACCACAATCTTCGTCTCAAGCTTAGAGAACTGACACCTTGTCATAGTAGTCGGAAGTAGGCGGCAGTGCCCCCGGGCTCTCGCTAGGTGGCACTATCACAAAGGACGAAGCTGGCTGACGTTCTAGAGAACCGGAGCCGGCGTTCTGCTAAGGGCAGGTGCGTTATCCTGGGGTAGGGACGGATGAGTTCTGCTGTGCCAACTCCTCACTTGAGCCACTGGCGAGTTGCCACCTTCCTCTCTTCCACATGGACCAAAATGAGTGACCCTTTGCTGGAAGTCGACCTTGGTGCTCAGTGCTGGGTTACTCATTTATCCAGTCAGTGACCGTTGATATGGGCCTTCTTTGGTTAAGTTGGGCTCTGGTATTTAAAGATGATTGAGACATGTCTCCTTCAGGGAGCATGGACAGTTAACTACATGTCACCTTGGTATCTGTATGTGCAACTTGGTAGCATACAAGACTGTTGTAAGAATTCCCATTTATTGAGCACTTCCTAAGCCAGGGTATCTTGCAAATATTTATAATCCTTCTCCTCCCAAACAGCGTTGCAAATTAAGCATTTTCTATTCCTGTTTTACAAGTGGGGGGAAGGAATGACTGCCCAAGGATGTACAACTAGCAGAGTTTTGGGGTATGTCTCCAAACTCAGTGTCCTTCTACCCGACTCTGCCTTCCTCTGACCTTCCCCTGATGCTTGCTTTCTTTTTCTTAAGCCTCAGCCCTACCTCTATCCCGGTGTCCCACATCTGGGCAAGTTAAAAAGAAAATCTGGGTGCTTGTTCGTCTGATACCAGTGGGAGATTCAAACCAGGCAAGACCCTGTCTGAATGCACAAACCCTTATGTGGGCTCTGCCCCATGATGACCTATTTTTGCCTATGAGAGTTTACCTATGAAAAGCACTTTAAAACAGCTCCTGGCATGTAGTAAGTGCTATGTAGGTGTTAGTCATCACTACTATTGTGATTGCTGTCATTGGTGGTGGTAGTCTCACCACTGGAGAAAAGGACTGACTGTCCCACCCCCTTCCCCACCCACACACGCACATACTTAGGACTGTCACTTCAACCCTGTGCCAGTCCTAGAAGGGGCCAGAGTGATTTACCGTCCCAACCTCCACTTTTCCCTAGATAGTAATCCCCCATATTAGATATGGCTGGTTACTCATTCATACTGTGGACAAGAAATTCCTAAATAAGGAATTCTTGGAAACAAGGACCTAACTTCATGTCAACCTCTCAGTTAAACTTTTCCTAATTTGCTCACATAATGTTTACCACAAACACTACTTCCAATGTGGTTCTATGGCCCTGCACCATCAAAGCATTTGCCATACTACTGGAGTCCCTATATACTTGTCTCTTGTTCCCACCAACTTGTACGGCTTCTTATGGGTAGGAATTGGGCTGGCTCATTTCTGTATGCCCTTCCTTTTTTTTTTTCTCACTCTAAGTTGGCCTTCCAAAAGCGCAGCTCTCTCTGGTTATCCTTTTTGTGACTCTCAGACAGCCATGTTTTCCAGATCCTGCTCAGCCCCGGCTTGTGCAGACTGTGAAAAGTGAAAATGAAGTGGGTTCTCCTATGCAGCCAGAGGATATTATAGTAATTTCTTTATAAGCTTTTCTTTTATTTATAGTATTTTAATCATCATTTATCTGTAGGACTTGAAGTCTGGGCATCACCCATATTCGTATTCCTTAGACTTCCTATCACAATGTATAACTTATGGTGGGAAGCTAATTAATGAATAAATAAGCCCAAGGTGTCTGGAAACCTCACTCTGCCAAAGAGGTGTTTACAGTTAGAGACTACCTCTTAGCAGAGGTAGTCAAGCTACAGTGTAGTGTGCGCGCTCTCTCTCCCTGGTGCCCATCAAGAGATTTCATGTCATTTGACTCTAACTCTTACCCAAGAAACCTACAAATGTAGCCATTTGGAAGATCCTGAATTTCATATTTTATAAAGGACGTTAATGAGAATAAAACAAGGTGACGAGGTAGTCCCACAATTTTGCACAGACTCTAAGTCCCCCATGGAGGAAACTCCAAAGTTGCGGTCACTATAATGAGGTCTGTCTCCTCCTCTCTGCTGATCTGTTCAGTATCTCAGCTCTCTGGCTGAGAGAGCCCTCTGGCAGAAGCCTAGTGTGGAGTCATATCTGGTGTTCTGAAATATGAAGGGAATGGGCATTAGAAATGGAATGCAAGTAGTGAATATATTCATTTAGTGAATTCTTTGTTCTAGGGAAACAGGGGTAGGTAAAACAAAAATTGCTGCCCTCATGGAGCTTACGTTCTGCTGGGGAAAACAGACATGATAAAGGTGGAGTCTACAAAGCTGACTGACTCCCTAGATGAGAGAAAAGATAAGGAAATATTTACTGAGCACCAACTACATGTGAGGCACTGGGGATGCAGCATTAAATGAGACAGAACCAGTCCCCACCTTTTCTGTGTGTTCAGCCTGGTAGAAAGTCAGACACTTCATGAATTGTTACACATCCAGTCACTTAATTGCAGTTACGGTAGATGCCTCAAAGACAACCAAGACTGGAGATCTGGGAACATGTCCCTGAACGAGTGACATGCTAAATTCTTAAGGATAAGTGCAATTACCTATGAGGGGAGGAAGGGCTGGACACTGGCACAGGCAGAAGGGACAGCATGCGCGAAAGTTTTGAGGTCGGACCACGGCAAGTTGGAGGAATGGAACGAAGGCCTGTCCGGTATCTACAACAGGGAGAGAGAGACATGTTAGGTAGGCAAGGCTTAAATCTTGGTAGACATTAGAAATCATATTTGGGAACTTGGGCTTTATTTTTAGATCCAGGAAGAATGAAAGATCTTCAGAATTTTGAGCTCTGAAAGCCTGGGCAACTAACAGTAACAGCAGTAACAGAGAAGGAGACATCTCAAAGGAGAGCCGAGTTTTGTGGGAAGGGTTGAGCTTTGGGTTATAAATATGCTGAGTGTGTGGAGAAAGGGGGGCTGTGGGAAATTCTCCTGGGGACCTCCAACAGGCATGAGTTCTGAGCTCAGGAGAGAGGCAGAGCCACGGGCATTCATTAGAGAGTCAGCTACACAGAGGGCGCAGCACAGCTCAGTGGAAAGAGTGTGGACTCAGTAGTCAGACAGAACTGAGTTTGGATCAGACTTCTTTTGCTTTGCTAGTTATGTGACCTTGGGCTAGTTAGTTAATTTCTGTGAAACTCAGTTTCCTTATCTGTAAGATGGGCATGATACTCTCCTACCTTGCAGGGTGGATCATTGTGCCCGTTTAGAAGAAATGAGGTGTGAAATGATTAACACTGTTGGGCACACAGTGCGCTGCTCAGCAAATGCTAAATACTACTATTGCTACGATTACAGGTACTATTACAAAATCAAGAGGTACTCATCATTTAGTAAACATCTATGGGACTTTGCTAAGTGTCAGATACTGGTTCAGGTATGAATGTACAGCAGGAGGCAGACAAGATCCCTGCTCTTGTGGTGCTTATTTTCTGATGCAAAGAGTCAGACACTAAACAAATGAATGACCAGAAGAATGACAGGTAAGTAGTTTCGAAGAATTAGAGCAGGGTCATGTGGAAGGAAATGACTCAGGGTCACTTTACGTCCAGTAGTCAGGGGAGATCTCCCTCAGGAGGTGGTGTTTGAGCTGAGATTTGGAGAAGGCAGGCATGGCAGGGGCAGGGAAGAGCATTCCAGCAAGGAGAACAACAATCTCGGAGACCCTGTGTGAGTACAAAGGTGGCATGGTCTAGCCCTGGCTGGTGTGGCTCAGTGGATTGAGCACCGGCCTGTGAACGAACCAAAGGGTGGCAGGTTTCATTCCCAGTCAGGGCACATGACTGGGTTGCGGGTCAGGTCCCCAGTAGGGGGCGCGTGAGAGGCAACCACACCTTGATCCTTCTCCCCCTCTCATACTCCCTCCCTTCCCCCCTGTCTAAAAATAAATAAATAACATCTTAAAAAAAAAAAAAAAGGTGGCCTGGTCTAGAAGTAGGAAGCTAATGATATTCTGGCTGAGAGCATGGGCTTTGAACCCCAGCTCTGTCAGCTGTTAATGGTGTGACTTAGCCAGTATGTACTTCACTTTTTAAATCTGTAACACAGAGATCATAACAGTACCTACCTCATAAGCCTGGTGGGAGGATTGGGTGAGATAACACATGAAAAGTGCTTAAAATGGTGCACATAGTAAGAGCTTGGTGTTTCAAAAATAGAGAGGGGATCAATATACCTTGAGTCTCATGAAGAGAGAAAGAGGGTTAGGCGATGAGGCCAGTGAAAAAAGCAAGGGCTGGATTATAGAGACAACAGTAAGTTGTTTGGGTTTTATTCAAAGTACAGTAGGAAACCATTGAAGATTTTAAGCTGTGAGTGGCATGATCTGATTTTAAATTTTAAAAGATCATTCTGGCTGCTGTACGTAGAGAGAATTGAAGGGATTTTTTTTTCTCCCAAAGGTCATGTGTTATCAGAACAAGCAGATGCTCTTATGTAGGGCAGACTGAGCATCCTCTTCCTCTGACTTGCTCCCAGAAGCATGTATAAGCACTCTGTCACTGACTCACAAATATGTCCTGAGCGGTTGTGCTTTGTCAGGCACTATAATGGGCACTGGGGATGCAGAGACAAATAAGGTACAGTCCCTGTGGGTAGAGCTTGGCTTCATTCCTGGCACGGAGGAGGGGTTCCTTACATGACAGCTGCTACTCGTTTTACCAGTTTTGTTGCATTTCTTATTCCTGCCCTCAGGAACACATGGTTATGGATGTACCCGGGCCAGATATAACCAACCATAACACAATGTGGCAAACACAATAATAGGGATCAAAAAAGGTAAGCTCCTTGGAGGGTGATATTAGCCAGGATTAACTCCCAAGAAAGAATGTGACAGAAGTTCCTTAGAGGGAAAAGGAGGACGTTCTGAAAGAACTGAGCCTTAAAGTAGAAGGAGGTTGGGAATAATGGCCCTAAGATAAAGGAGGAATGACTCAGGAGAAAGGAGGAAGACAGGAGAGCATAGGTAAGACTGTAGAGATGCTGACCATTGGTGCTTTAGCCTGAGGCCCCAGGGTAACCCTTACAGTGTTAATCCTTCTGGAGGTAGAATAAAATGATTAGTTAATTATTTATTGCTAAATAAAATAAATAAATAAAATAATTAGTAATAAATTAAATAATCAAAGACCTTTAAAATCTTTCACCCACCAATTTCATTTGAAAGTTATATTAAAGATATGTGCCAAAATGTACCTATAATGGAATACTATGCAACTGTTTTAAAAGTGATTAAAGAATACTTATTGATATGAAAAGATGTTTGAGACATAGTAAATGAAAAATGAAGGTTACAAAGCTATATTACAGTGTACTTTTAAAAAATAAATTAAAATGTAAATGATTTAGTTATATACTCAGCAGAAACGCATATATTTGTACACAAGAATGTAAATAAGAATGTTCATAGAAATATTTCTAATAGTAAAATAGGAAACAACCCAAATAAATGATAGTGTATTCAAACAATGGAATATTCTACAGCAATGAAAATGAATAAACTGCAACTACATTGAACAATATCCATGATTCTCATTAACATAAAGTTAAAAAATGCGAAAGGTCATGATTTCATTCAAATGAAATTCAGCAGGCAAAAATGATCTGTGCTCTTAGAAGCTAGAATAGTGTTTACTCTTTTAGTCATTTTTTTAGTTGTGGTAAAATACATATAACATAAAATTTACCACTTTAACCATTTTGAAGTGTACAATTCAGTGGGCATTCAGTACATTCACACTGTTGTGTAACTATTACCTCTACCTAGTTTCCGAACTTCAGGCAGTACCGATGGAGCAGTCACTGCACATTCCTGCCCTCTTGATGTTACTTTTGAAGAGGAAAAAATAGTGATGGAGGGGAGACATTCTGTGGGGGCTTCCAGATATTACTAATGTTCTATTTTTTTAAATGTGGGTGCAATTTATATGACTGTGTTTGTGTTGTGAAAATATATCTAGCTATACACTTATAATTTATATACTTTTGTATGTATGTTAAATCTCAGTACATATAAATGTGTAGATAAATTGATTGTAATGCTCTTCAGAAGAAAATGTTTCTTACCATCAGAGGCAGAGGGAGTGCAGCACCAAATTTTGCCTGGTCCCTATTTTGCCTCATGGCTGATACTTCTCTATCTGCCTATCACCCTGCATGGTTCCCCCTCTCCCCCAGCTGTCTTTCTTCCTGATGGATATGGAAGGAGTGTGTGTGGGAGACAAGGGAGAGAGGATGTTCCAGTTCTCCTTGGCCACAGGGTGGTTGTGCTGAGCGGACTCACTCCCTGCCAGGTTGGAATTAATCTTGACATAAAAGCTGGGGAATTTGAAAAGAGAAGGTAGAGGCCAAGGTGAACAGGCTGCCTGGACCAGCCTAAAGGAGCATCAGGGAGCAACCAAGGGCTTCAAGAGAATAAATGACCCTGTAGTCTGTCAAATGAGACACAAGAAACTACCCCAGAGAGAGATTTTCATAAAGGAAGCCTTCTTCAATCACCTAGCACCCACCAAAAGAAGAAAGTACTAAGTAATATCTACATGTAAAGCCCTCTGTCCCTCTCTTTCAGGAGTGCCTTTAGGCCACCCTTGTCTTAGTGGCTTACTCAGTTTTTAAACCTTGATTTTTACCTCCACCCCTCCAGGCATGCAGGCACTATTAACCTCTCCCTCCTCTGTGCTTCCATAGCACCTGGTTTATAGCTCTACTAAGCAGCCACCATATTGCATAATAAGTCTTTGTCGCCAAACTGAGATCTCCTTAATGGCTGGGACTAAGTCTTTTTGATCACTGCATCCTCAACACTTATACAGTAGACACTCAACAAATGTTGACCTGATTGTTGAAGGTGGGTCTTCTTCCTGCCTTTGACCCTTTCTCCAAGTTGTGTGACTGTATACCCTTCCCTTTTCCATTGGACGTTCCTTCCCTTTTCCCTAGGCTTTTATTCTTCAATCCTTTCCTTGGTTCCAAGACTTCTTTCATTCTTCAGATGTTATTAAATGTTTACACATGCACTTGCCTTGAAGCTTGTGGCACGGATTTATGGCCCGCTTTCATGTGCAGTACGGGACTTGTAGTCATTCCACTTCTCTCCAGCCCTCCTTTTTCTGGTACTTGTCCTGCTTTCCCTCCACAACTCCAGGAACTGAGTGTTTAGAGAAGAATATCCCCTACACATTAAAAGGTGTCAGTCCTGGACTAGCCCTTTTCCTTATTTGTTGAACCATCACAATATGCCAGGCACTGTGCTGGTTCATGATCTAGCAGGAGAGGCAGCAAAGCCTTAGACTGATTCATTTATTTATTGGTTATCCTCCAGAAACATACAGCAAGTTACTGATCTAGTTTCTGGTCAGGCATAGCTTTCTCGAGGAACTGACATTTCTGCCAGATGTTTAAAGTTAAGTAAAAAGTGGTTGAGGGGAAGTGGGTAACAAAAAAGCCAAGGGAACTACATGTTTAAAGGACCCTGAAGTGTGGAAGATGGAAGGGACAGACTGTTCAAGGATCATAAAGACATTGCCAATATTTGAAGTGTGGGGCTGGGGGTAGTGGCCCAGATGAGGTTGAAGAAGTAGGCAGAGATGGAATAAGACAGGGCCTTGATGTATGATAAGGCTGCTTTAGTCAGGAGTCTTTTGGTTGAAAGTGACAAAAATCCATCTAAGGAAAAAGGGAAGCCTTTATTGGCTCACAAGCTAAAAGTTCAGGGCTTTCAAGATCAAAGATGTCATTGAATTTTGACACCTCTTTCTCTGTCTCATCTTCGCTCTCCTTTGTGTTAGCTTCATTCTTGGGCTGGCCTCTGTGAAATGGTCTTCTGATCCACCGTGTCACAGAGGCGCCAAAGATTGGCGTAGAAGGGAATGGGGGGTGAGAAAGGCTAATTGATAAGAGCCACTTACCCTTCCACTCTTCAAAGCCTTCAAGGTCACCTTCTTTTCAGGCTATGTCCAAAAGTCCTCACCTTAGACCCCTTGTGGGAGGACAGAAAGTTTGGCCTTTTAAGGGAATGTACGGGGCTGGAGGTAAAGAATTGGGTGGGTGAGGGGCCCTGTCCCCAGAATCCAAAACTGTTTTCTTAAAATAGGAAAGCCACATACCCCCTGTCTGTTTCCCTAAGGGCACTTTCTCTGCCGCATCCGCGGCCTTCCCAGGAGGCAGGGTCATTTGGGTTTGGTAGAAGAAAGGGGGGCGGGGCCCCAGAACTTCCTCCCGACTTCCGCCCCTCGGGCTGGCCCCAGTCCCTCGGTACCGAGAGGGTCCTGACCTAATCGTCTGACTCGCACTGTGTCTCCAGCCTCTTCTCAAACAACCCCCAGCTTCAGGGCTTCAGAACTCCTCCGCCGTCCGATGACCTATCCTTTCGCTTCACGCACACCCTAACTCGGCAGGAGCTGCCAAAGACTACCCTACCTGGGGACCCCGTTTGTCTGGGATCTGGCGCTTCCGCCTCCGGGCGGAGACTCCTCCCCCTCACCGTCCCGCTTGCATTCCTCGGGAGAGCAGCCAGAAAAGCCTCCGCCGCTCGGACCGGGACAAGCGAGAAGCCGGCTCTTTCTCGCAGGCGGCTCCTTCTCGCAGCCCTCTCCTTGCGCCCCACGATCACCGCGGCATCCGACCGAAGGCCCAGCTCGGCCGGGCGCCGGCGGCGCGGGCGCGGCTTCAGCACCGCGGACAGCACCCACCGCGGCGCGGTCCGGCCGATCTACGCCAGGCGGCGAGCTATGCCCGCAGCATGGCCTGTCGCTCCGGCTCCATGGCGCTGTTCCTCGGCTTCGGCCTCCTCCAGCTGTGTTCAGGTAATGACAAGGCGCCGCGCTCTGTCTCACCCGGCCGGGCTCAAAGGTGGAAGGAAGGGATTCCTAGAGGTAGGGGCGCCTGCTGGGGTTAGGGGAGAGACCTTCGGGCCCGGAGGGAGACTGAACTGAGACGAGTAGTGATGCAAGGAAGAGATGGAAACCTGGGCAGTGGTGGCGGGGAGGGTGGGCACACAAAGGAAGGAGGGAGGGAATCTCCCCAGGCTTTGTAGGTCGTCAGGAGGGCAGTTTCCGTGGCTGAGATGCTATTTGACTTCTTGTGAAACATTATAGCAAGAAATCTCCCTGGTTCAGCATCCTTCCTTGGTTCTCCATCATTTCCTGTCTACCACCTGGGGCTCCTGATTCTGATCACTCCACAGGGGCAAGGAAGGAGGGGGAGAGAAGTGACTCTTCACCTGTCTGGTAGGGTGGGACGGGAGACTTGGAAGGAATAAACTCTGCCAGGCTGGGGGTCAGGGAGGAGCTCTCTGAGGGGGTGGGGTGTGTTTGTGCAGAGTTACAGAAGAAGACAGAGTGTATAAAGAGCGGGCGCAAAGAGAATGTACAACCTAATGAGACTTCCATACCTGCATGTCATCTCCTGTACATGTGAAATTTGGGACTAAACATATGCCCTAACCCACAGCTTAGAAATTCCAATTATTCTACTCCAACCCAGTGCCTTTGAGGGTGAGGGTGGGGGTGCCTTTGAGGGTGAGGGTGGGGGTGGGGTCATGGCCACAGTTCATGTGGAGACACATAATGTGTCTCACATGCACAGATGAACACTGACTGAGGGGAAGGGGTGCATGGTGGGATGTGAATAACCTTTCCTGAGTTGTAGTAGGTATCTTTTAGGAGAAGCCATGGAGACATGAGTTTCTCTTGAAACCACCCTATGAGATCTTAGAGGAAGAGCAGGTCTCCACTAATTCTTGCAGAACAGTTTCTTGGTCTGGAGTCATCTGTCTGGGCAACTAGGGGCTCTCAGGGAGGGGTTTCTCTATGAGAGGCCTCTGTGGGTAACCTAAGCATTTTGATATATCCTCAGGGATGGAGCCTTGGGAAGCTACAGCTTCTTGTTTGGGCCTGGATTGACCCACTTGCCTAGGGTGGGCGGGCCTTTCTTTCCTACCTACTTACCTCTTGCTCCTCAACCCCTTGCCCAGGAGTCTGGGGTACGGATACAGAGGAGCGGCTGGTGGAGCATCTCCTGGATCCTTCCCGCTACAACAAGCTTATCCGCCCAGCCACCAATGGCTCTGAGCTGGTGACGGTACAGCTTATGGTGTCACTGGCCCAGCTCATCAGTGTGGTGAGTGGGGTTCCAAACTCCCTGCCCAACTACTGAACTCAACACAGCCAGAAAGTGTTCATTTTAGTGTTTACTCCTCTGGAGTTCCTGAGGTTTGGGAGATGTGGGGGAGGCCATGGGTGGCTGTCGTGGGCCCACAGGCTGGGAGGCCTTCACAGCAGCTTCTCTACTTTCCTGCAGCATGAGCGGGAGCAGATCATGACCACCAACGTCTGGCTGACCCAGGTTAGTGCTCTTTCCACCCACACCCCTCATCTTCTCTTTCCTCATTTTTTATTTTCTTTTTTATGAGCTTTTCCCTCTTTTAATCTCCTAAAGAGAGGCAGAAAGATATAAACTTTTGTGTCCTAAATAACTGGATTTGAATCTTGGTTCTTCCACTCACCAGCTTGGTGGCTTGAACATGTTAAACTCTGCAAGATTCATTTTCTCATTTGTAAAATGTAGATTCTAATATCTTGGCTTAGATTTGCAATTCAAATGAGAAAGTATTTTATGAGCCACATTTGCTGGGCAGAGTAGTCACTGTGGGAAGGTGATGGTTTGAAAAGCTTCCTTAAGCCAGATGGGCCCCCTCTTGTCCCTGACCTTAACCTTGAGCCCCTCGCAGGGCTGAGGTTGGTGCTGCCTCCCTCTCTCCCTTTCCCAGGAATGGGAGGATTATCGCCTCACTTGGAAGCCTGAGGAGTTCGACAACATGAAGAAAGTTCGACTCCCTTCCAAACACATCTGGCTCCCAGATGTGGTCCTATACAACAAGTAGGTGACCTTGGAACAACGGGAAGGCTGGGGGAGACCATGGGAGTGCTCAGAGAAGGAAGAGGTCTTGGGGGAGGTAACTTAGCCCATGCTGGGTGCAGAGAAGTGTCTTTTCCTTGGCACAGATGCAGTCACTACCCAGATAGACAGAGCCAGACCAGTGAGGTGTATACGGACAGCCAGAGTAACCCGGCCCATAGTCAGCCCCTACCCAGACAATTAGGAGTCCCAGTGTTTGGAGCTGCAGTGGGATATAAACAAGGACGGACAGCCCCCAGTGCCTAAACTGATTCAGGGATAGGCTTTCCTGGAGGCTTGGGCAGGATCAGAGAACCTGGTGGTCTCACTGTCTCCTCCAGGTGCCATCCCCTCTCCTGAAATAATCCCTTTCCCTCCAGGATCCAGAATGATTAGTGGGACCATCTCCTGCTCCCACCTGCCTCTATCCTGCACCGTTGCTTGGGGTGCCTCACTCTGGCCTCCCTGGCTTCCCCAACTTTTCCACCCTTATGTGAAGCAAACAGCTCACAGAGTGCATGACAAGTAGCGGGCACGTCCCTCACCTCTTCATCCACTTCTTTATCTCTGCGGGGCCTCACAATTCTTCTGAGAAGAACACCCCTTCTCCCCACAGACCCACCCAGATACCGTTCTTGCTCAGTTCCTGCTCTACGTCCCTGTACTCTGGATGGCTACCTCAGACTTGGGCTTCCCCTCCCGTATCCCCCTTTGGCTTTCCTCTCCTCCTGGTCAGGGCCGGGCTGATAGATGGGGGTGGAGAACGCTGAGGCTAGAGCTGACTGCTCATCCCTTGGCAGTGCTGATGGCATGTATGAGGTGTCCTTCTATTCCAACGCCGTGGTCTCCTATGATGGCAGCATCTTCTGGCTGCCACCTGCCATCTACAAGAGCGCCTGCAAGATCGAAGTAAAGCACTTCCCATTTGACCAGCAGAACTGCACCATGAAGTTCCGCTCATGGACCTACGACCGCACGGAGATCGACCTGGTGCTCAAGAGTGATGTCGCCAGCCTGGACGACTTCACACCCAGTGGCGAGTGGGACATCGTGGCACTGCCGGGCCGGCGCAATGAGAATCCCGATGACTCCACTTATGTGGACATCACCTATGACTTCATCATACGCCGCAAGCCACTGTTCTACACCATCAATCTCATCATCCCCTGTGTGCTCATCACCTCGCTGGCCATCCTTGTCTTCTACCTGCCATCTGACTGCGGCGAGAAGATGACGCTGTGCATCTCTGTGCTGCTGGCACTCACCGTCTTCCTACTGCTCATCTCCAAGATTGTGCCACCCACGTCCCTCGATGTGCCGCTTGTTGGCAAGTACCTCATGTTCACCATGGTGCTTGTCACCTTCTCCATCGTCACCAGCGTGTGTGTGCTCAACGTGCACCACCGCTCGCCCACCACGCACACCATGGCGCCCTGGGTCAAGGTCATCTTCCTGGAGAAGCTACCCACGCTACTCTTCATGCAGCAGCCACGCCACCACTGTGCCCGCCAACGCCTGCGCCATCGACGGCGCCAGCGCGAGCGTGAGGGCACCAGGGCCCTCTTCTTCCGCGAAACCCCCGGCGCCGACTCCTGCACGTGCTTTGTCAACCGTGCGTCAGTCCAGGGCTTGGCTGGGGCCTTTGGGGCGGAACCCACGCCGGCAGCTGTCCCAGGGCGCCTGGGGGGGCTGTGTGGCTGTGGCCTCCAGGAGGCGGTGGATGGCGTCCGCTTCATCGCAGACCACATGCGCAGCGAGGACGACGACCAGAGCGTGAGTGTGCTGTGGGGTCGCGCGGCTGAGGTGCGGGGCTGCAGTATCTGGAAAGGAGCCTCATGGGATAGGCGTGCAAAGCTAAAAGGACTAGATGCGGGAAATGTGAGCTGCTGTGGGGCTGTGGGGCTGTGGGCCTGGGCGCTGGCCGGGGCTCTCAGTTGGCTTCCAGGAGGGGGAGCCGCCTAAGTTGGAGTCTGTACAGGATGAACGTGCGGCTTCCTGAGGACTAGCATCCAGGGTGTCAATGCCCCGTCTGGGGCATCATTAGTGTCAGGAGGGCAGCGGGAAGGGGAAGAGGCCCTTCTGCGTATTTTGTTGGCTTGTGGCCGTGTCCGCAAGAGTTCCTACCCACCGCTTGCATTCCCAAGTCCAAGCTGTTAATTTTCAGCTCAGCGCAAACCAGGACTGAGTCCTTTGTGTACTCCATGGGAGGCAAAATTGAAGGCAGTCCAAAGGGGTGTGTGTTGGGAGGGTAGGTTAAGAGTTTCCAAGAGCCTACTGGTGGGGGGAGGACAGTCCCCAATCAATATATTCTTTCTCTTCTTCTGGGTCCCGGGGGATGGCTTTGTGAAATATTTATGGAGGTGGGGGCAGGTGGCGGCTAGGGCTTCCGAGACCTGCCCCCCAACTTTCTGAACAGCAGGTGTTTTCTATGGCAGTTCTTCAGAAGAGGACTCTCTTGATTTCTGCATCTGGGAACGAAGTATAAAGAGTTGACATGCCCCCACTTTGGGTTGTGGCTGGCCTGGCTCAGTCTTTGGGTACCTGGCTAGTTCCTGGCTGCTGCTCAGCTGCCACCATGGTGACTGGCGATGTTTCTGCTGGGTCGTTGCCATTCTGGTCTCAGGGTGAGGAAGGGTGAGCTCCCGCACTACTGTTGCGGGGAGGAGGAGGAGGACCTCCCAGCCTGGCGTTTGAGCAGGCCCCGATGGAGGAAGAGGGCTGCCCAGGTATGAGGCTATGGGGTGGAAGCCTCCCAGCCAGCAGAGGCCGCGTGGGAGCTGCGTGGGTGGGGGTGGGGGTGCAGCACTCAGCCAGCTTCCTCAGGGCCTCTGCCTCCTCTGCTGCAGTCCCCTCATGTCATGTGCATTACCTGAGCTGGGCTGATGAGGCAGTGACCTACTTGGATGCTTCGCAGGCACCTCAATCGTAACATATCCCAAATGGAGTGCTTAACATACATCCCCACCCACTCCTCATCTATGTTTTAGTAAATGGAATCATCACCTTCCACCTGATGATTCAAACTAAAAACCCGGAGTGATGCCTGACTTTTCATTTTCTCTCTTATGTCCCTCACTGTCCGAATCATCAGCAGTCTCGCCCTGCGAGCGCCACCTCCGACATAACCCGCAGCTTCACTTTTTCTTCACCCTCTCCACTCTGTGCCCTGGCTGTAGGCGTCCAGCAGCTCTTGCCTCGACCAGAGCAGAGACCTGTGTTGGTGTCCTTGGTTCAGCGCCTGCGTTCCTCCGCCCAGACAGCAGCATGCCCTCCCCACCCTCACCCTGTGCCGCGCCCCCTTGCTCAGCTTGCTGGCCTGATTGTTCTAAGCTAGCCAAGCTCCTTCCTGCTCAGGATTACTGCATGTATCCGTCTCTCTGCTTGGAATGCCCTTCTTTTTTCTTTTTAAAAATTATTATTGTTAATAATTTTTGATATTGTACTATTGGAGAGTAAGTTGTAGGCATGGTGACCCTTTATCCCAAGTAGTACAGCATGTCTTTCCTAAGAATAGGAACATTGCCTTGCACAAACCAGGTTCAATGATCAAATTCAGGAAATTTAACATCAATACAATATCTAAAATCCATAGTACATTTTTCCAATCTTCTCAGTGACGCCCTTTGTAACATCACCTTCACACCAATCCATGATCTTGAATTGCATTTAATTGTCCTGCTTCTTTCGTTTCTTTTACCTTGGAGCAGTTCCTCAGCATGGTGCCAGGTACATAGTAGGCACACATGTGATGCGAATGAGTCATCAGCTGCTGGCTAAATGAAGGCGCGCAGTCTCCTTCTTCCATCCCCCCAGCCAGCTGGGCTGCAGCTGAACATGTGTACCAAGGCCCAGCGTCAGGCCGGAGTGGAGCAGCTCCGAGGGGAGGCCAGCGCTTCCCCTCAAACCCACAGAAGTCATTGTCTTTTTGACTGATTTGTTCTCATCTGGGACCTAGTCTTCGTCCTTTGGGGCCTGCATGCTCAAGATGGTGCTTTTGGATGGGGCTTCCCATGCAGTCATGTAAAGAGCAGAGGGAGTCATTCATTCACTAATTCAAGAGCCATTTACCAGCACTCTGTGTTCCAGGTGCTGGAATTGCAAGGATGGATTTGATGGGTCGCTGTAGTTTAGGAACTGGGGAGGTGGGGGGCAGACATGCAAATTGAAGTGATAACACAGTGCAGGGAAAATACTATGATAGAAATGTATGTCCAGTGCTAAAGGAACCCAGAAGGGACAATGGTTCATTCTGATCGGGGGATCAAGAAAGCCTTAATAGAAGAGGTAACATTTGATTTGGGCTTTGAAGGATGTATAGGAATTCAACAAGTATAGAAAGGGAGGACCAGCATTCTAGACTGAAAGGAAACCCAAAGGCACAGAGACCTGAGAGGACACGTTGGGTTTGGTAAATCTTAGTTATAGCATGGAGGAGGATTGGGAGTAGGCCCATATTGTCATGGGCGTGTCTTAATTCCAGATTTGGGAGTTTGGAGAGGTCCCGGAGGCAGTGGGGCCACTGGAGGCTTTTAGGCAGGCAGGATTGGAACCATGTTTTGGAAAGGTCACTCTAGGATCATGGAGGGAGAGGAGCGATGTGTGTGTGTGTGTGTGTGTGTAAGGTAGGACCTGCTTAGAGCCATTCCATTCCTATCCTGCATCATGTGACTGATATACCAGGGTATCACTTGTCTCCTGTCCAGGTGAGTGAGGACTGGAAGTATGTCGCCATGGTGATCGACCGCCTGTTCCTTTGGATCTTTGTCTTCGTCTGTGTCTTTGGCACCATCGGGATGTTCCTACAGCCTCTCTTCCAAAACTACACCACTGCCACCTTCTTCCATGCAGACCACTCTGCTCCCAGCTCCAAGTGAGGCCCCCCAGCTCCGCGCTCCTTCACCCCTTTGCCCTCTGTTGTACAATAGTTTTGGGTGGAGGTGGATGAGCTACCAGGAAAGGGTCACTGCCCACAAAGATCCATCTTCCACATCGCCTGGAGCCCCTCCCCCCACCCCAGCCCACACACAGCCAGCTCCACCTGGAGGCCGGGCCAGCCGCTCTCCTTCTCTTGCACCAACCCAGGCAATAGTGTTGCTGGTCGAGGATGAAGGCTGAGAAGAAGAGGACAGAGATGTCAGAGACTTCCAGCCTTAGGGAAGCGTGAAGGCGAAGGGGCCAAGACGGGGGCAGAACTGCCTCCGAATCATGGGAAGGGGTGTGGCGGAGCGGGGGAGGAGGAACAGGGGCTCCGACCTGTGCTAGGCTGGCTGGCTGGGCACAGGGCGCTCCGCTCCGCCGAAGGAGCAAGAGGAGAGTGGCCTGGGTGTGACCTGACACCTGCCCCCGCTCCAGTGGACAGCCAGTGGACAGCAGCCGGGCTGGGGGGCCGCACGGCGGGCAGAGGTTCCTGCCTGGGGGTTAGCCTGGTGCTGCCATCAGACTCCTGGGGGAAGCTCCCACCCAGCCCTGCAGCCCCTTGCTCCCAAGGGGTCCAGAGCCCAGCCCCAGTTCCCCTTCTCCCGGTGAGGAGTTCTCCGCAGCCCCTGGATTTTTCTCTCCTCCCTGTCTTGCTCAGTCAGGGTGTGGTGGGCAGGGCTGGGTATTGGGGAGCCTCTGAGTTTTGAGTCTTTGTGTGACCTGCTTGGAGCCTGAGGTCAAGTTCACAGGCTGCTTTTTACCCTAGTTGAACTGACCGGTTGTTTGAAGTAAATGAAGGAAAGATGTGAGCTGTAAGCAGGCCCGGCCTTTCTGGAAGCTGAGCTGCCTGCCCAAAGAGAGGAGAGGGCCGGCTGCAGAGTCCTGCGGGAGCACCGCTCTGCCCCGCCCCTCTCTTCAGCGCTTGTCCTTCCTGCTCTCGCCCCACCTCTTCCCTCACCCAAACCTGAGCCAGGCTGCAGTCTGGCAGGGCTGCCCTGCTGGCAGCCCCTCTGAAAGCATCCCGTTCTGGGAGTCCCTGGACGCTGTATTCTGACACTGCTCCCAGGGGACAGCTGGAGGCAGACCTGTTTTGGGATCTTCCTTCCCAGTCCCTGCCACGTGACTGGCTCTGATTTATGGTCCCAGCCTGCGCCCAGTGCTAGGCCAGCAGGTGGCCGGTCACAGAGGGGTCAGCCTGCCAAGTGCACTGAACGGCCTGCCCCTCACGGGCCACGTGGTTCTCCTGGCCAGCTGGGCTCTGCTTCCCCAGGCCCAGCGCAGTTTGGGGTGGGGGTGGGGTGCCGATGGGTGAGAGGAGACACATGGCATATGTGAGCACTGGGATCACTCTGGATTCTAGTCCCAGCTCTGCCACTTACTCAGACATCTTGAGGAAGTCTTTACCTTGCTGGATCTCGGCTTTCTCGTCTGTCAGCTGTGGACAGTGGTGCCCTCTTTATGGGCTTGCTGTGAGGACGAAGCGGCGTTTGTGAAGAAGCCCAGTGCTCTCCTGGGTGCAGAGGGGATGCTCTATGAATGTGAGGAATGGGGTCGCCTGTCACGTCAGCTGCCCCCCCAGGCCTTCACTTACCCTCTCTCTTCCTCGAACAAACTAAGTCCCCTAGAGCAGGGCCTGGGTCTGGGGAAACTGAGAGCTGGAGGGAATGCTCGTGAGTCTAGTAGGAGGGTCTCTCTCTGGAGCACCTTAAGCAGTTTCATTCCACTCCCGGGCTGGGAGCTCTGGCATTGGCCTTGACCTCCCTTCTCAGTCAGTTCCTCCCAAGGTAGGTGTGCGCTCAGGGCCCCCCTGCTGACCTAGTCCTGTCTGGCGTTGTGGGTTATGCCCAGTGTTTTTACCCACCTGCCACAACAGGCTTCTGGACATCTCTTCTGAGGGACAGTGTCTTGGCCCCATGAAAACGCCCTTCTTCTAGAACAGCAGATTTTTTTTATTGTATTTTTTTCTATTTCCATTTAGCCCCCTTAAGCCCCCTTCCCCCCTGCAGTCACCCCACTGTTGACCATATCTGAGTCCTTTTTTCTTTTTGCTCAAGCAAAATAGAACAAATTTCCAGTTGACAGTATGATGCCGGGACCCACCTCAAACTCCTAGCCCTGAAGACACGTCCCAGAACCTGAAACAGCAACTGGAAAGGAACCTTTCCCCAAAGGGCTGATATCTCCCTTAGAAGGGCAGGGTGCCGGCCTGGGGCTCACCCCGCCAGCTCTCCCGGGCTCCTGGCCCCAACCAGCTGCCGCTGTTGTCCAAGTCAGTCGGCAGATGGCTAGGGGGACTTAGAGGGCAGCTTCTCCGAGTCCTCTGCATGACCCACCTGGCGTTTCCAAGACACATGGAAACTGAGGCCTGGAGTGTGTGTGCTGCCTGACCTTGTACGAGCACCTAAGTCTGAACTTGCTCATCCTCACCTGTGAAATCAGGGTGACAGCGCGCCGAGGGCTGCAGCAAGGACGAGGGATCGATGCACATGAAGCGTTAACTGGGCAGGGTCCGCGGGGCAGTGCCTTCCCTCCTCCCTGCCTCTGGCTGCAGTAGGGAGAGGAGAGCAGGAGTGCGGGGAGGGGGACGCGGGCGCAAGGGCCAGGGCCAGGTGTTGCACGTCAGTAACCAGGAGGCTTTGGACCGCCCGTCTCCCCCGTCCTCGGGTCCTCTGTCCTCCCTCGGTGCTGTCCGGGCAGCACCTTGCCCCTTCTGTGGTGGGGCTGTCTCTGTAGAGAACTGGGTACCCAGCTCAGCGCTGGGCGAGGACCAGAAGCCCCAAGTCTGAAGGGAGGGGGAGACACTAGATTGTAACCAGAGTGAGGTCAGCTCGAGAGGAGGCAGTGAGGAGACTTTTGAGATGGTCTCCATCAGAAACGGCTAAGACCGCAGGGGATCTGAGAGCCATTTTTGTCAGAAAAGCAGCCCTGCACAGACTCCCTGCTTTTGACAGCTGGCATTGCAGCAGGAGGAAGGCAGTTTCCTGTCAATGCGGGAGCTAATACTGGAACAGCTGGTACCAAGTTATTGAAAATTTAAAAGCAAACAAGACAGGGGCAGCCCCCAACTGGCACTTTCCGCAGAGGAAGGCTGCCTGCAGAGGACGGGCCGCCGCTTCACCGCGAGGAAGGCGGGCACGCTCTGGGGGGGCTGTGGGAGCTGTGACTCCCGCCGTCTCCTCCCAACTGCAGCATTAGTTGCTGTTCGCCAAGAGCTGGCTCCGTGCCACGGGCTTCAGGGTACCGTCCTCCTTCCTCACCAGCAGCCCTGCAGGGAAGGGGCCCTGCTGACAGGAGGGAAAACCGGGCTCAGAGACCCAGTGACAGCCGGTGAGCAGTGCTGGGTCTGAAACCTAAGACTTGTGATCACAGAGGCCACGTGGCCTTGGCGGCAGGCAGAGGGAAACAGGGGCATTTGGGTCTTTCCAGAATTTGTTCCCCGAGCCAGTGGCCCCGGATCCAACTGTCACCCTCTGCTTCTAGGCGTTGGGCTGGTGTCAGTGTCCCTCACAGCCCACTGGTGCTGACCAGCCTCCCACTCACCCACCCCAACTAGACAGAGGCAAGCAGCCATCTTTTGATACGCATCCCAACAAGTCCAAGAGGTCAGTGTGAGAGTCACGTGGTTCCTAAGGGACTGTAGGTCTAGGAATCGTTAGGACACGTCACTCACCCCCCCGCCCCCCGCCCTGGGGTGCCGCCTTCTCCCCAGCACTGGCCTTGGTGGGCCTCCCTTGTCTGTCTGCCTGGAATATTTGCACTAGTTTAGCCTGCTCCAGGCCAGACTCATTGGGAACTCAAGATTCTTTACGAGAGTAAAGATAAGTTGTTTCCAAAGATGTTTTGTCTCTTTTATTGGGAGGTGGGGGGATCCTCATGGACCGTGGTTGGCAAATACGGGAAAAATGGAGGCTGCTGGGAAAGTGGCACTGATGGAGTTTTCTAAAGAAAACTAAAGCAAAGGTCAGTGGTAACAGTTCCAGTATTGTGATTTGTTGCCTCACATGTTTATCCATCAGGTGGAAATGAGTGGCTGGACCTGTAGTAGACAGACCCCAGAAAAAGCTCCAGGGGAGGACCCCAGAGAACAGGGCAGCGGCGGGGACCAGTCTCGTGGAGACAGGGATGGCTGGGGCCTCCTCACAACCCGTGCTCTGGGAAGTCAAGGCTGAAGTCTGTGTGGAGGCCAGACCTGCTCCCAGAACACTGGTTTGATCTGGGCCCAAATCCTGGAACTGGTATTAAATACTGGGCCCTCTAGAATAGAAATACAAGAAAATCCTGTGGTCCCTCAGGGCAGTCTTATTTTCCTGCCCAGAGGTGGGTGGCGGGGAGGACAGCCTTGTTCCCCCCCAGACCCGTGTGGCAGTCACCTTGGGTGCGAAGGAAGCTGTCCACTTTCTAAAAGACCTGGATGTTACATTTCCCTCCAGGTAGAACCGGGAGCTGCCTGAGAACAAGACAGGCACTTGAGGTTCCCGGTGCAGCACGGGGGCGGGGGGGGGGCAGACACGTTATCTGCCCCCCTCACAACCGTCTAGCTCACCCAGCACCCGGTCAGCAGACTGAGTGACACCCAGAGTTGTTCTGTGCTCTCCAACACGTCACAGTCTCCCCCAGCTCAGCTGTTACATCTGTGTAATGGATGAGGATGGAGGCTTTGTTGTGACTTCATCTCCCTGTGTCCTCTGGCACATCATTTTTGAAAGGTCAAGGATGCCTCTTGTAGAAATGCTGGACTACATGACGATGTGGAAAGTGGCGCATTCTCTTTGAAATTCAAGATGAAGAAATATTCTGGATGCCATCTATGAAGTAAAAAGCCAATGGCCTGCAGCCAAGCCAGCCCTGGTTCAGATGCAACTCGACTCCAAATGCGCACATCCCAGCAGGGAGGCTCCATGAGCGGGGCTGGGGGAATGCAGAACCGCCCTCAAGGAGCGGGGAATTCTGTGTGTGACTGAAGATCCTGTCTCAAGGGAGATTTTCCTCCCCTGGGCCTTGAAATCTTGCCATCAAGCTCTGGGAACCAGACATTCTGCGGTGGCTCTGATGGGGCTGGGAGGCGTACCTCCCCCAACCCAGACACAGGCTCAGCGCCCAGCCCCAAGTCAGATGCAGCTGTGCCGCTGCCGGACGTCCTCCTGCCCCGCTTTCACCTCCCCCAAGGAACCAAGACTTGAAGCTTTCTACCAATTCAGATTCTTTTTTTATTTAGGAGGAATGTATGTATATGGTTAGTCACTGTTACCAAGGGACACACAAAAGCGGAATCAAAAACTGACTGCAGCCATCGTGGCACCCAAGTCCCCGCCTGGGCTCTTCCCTACTCTGCTCTTGGGAGTCTCGCGGCCCCCCAAAACCAACAAAGCCCCTTCGAAGTGAGTAAAGGAAATAGCTTCAAGCAGCGACAATTTTTATACGTGATTACTCAAAGAATGCACAATAGCCACAGTTCAGACAAATCAACTACAAAGATTTAAAAAAGGTGGGGGGAGAAGGAAAAGGGGGTCCTGCTTATTAAAAACAAAGATTGGACAAGAAGAGAACAGTGTAGGCAGGGGCTCTGCCTCCTGTCCTGTGTGACTGAGGGGCATGGGGGGCAGCGACGGCCGTGCAGGGCCTGACACACGCTTGTCCCCAGAAGACACGGGATTCGGGGTACCTTGCTTTCGTCCTATAGCAGAAACCACATACTGCAAGGTTGCTAGACAAGACCAGGGCCTTTTGAGAGCTCTGTGCTCCTGGTGAAAGAGTTAAGTTGGAGATTCTAGTGCCTGAGGAGGACCAGAGGGGGAACATTCTGAGGAATGAGTGCCCGACACCCTCCAGCCGGAAACACGAGGAAGATCAGCTGCCTCTGAGGCAGGACTGACTTGTGCCTTCAGCAGATCCACGGGACGGGACAGACAGGCCCCCTCCACTCCAGAAGACGGGACTGTTTCTGTCCGAGCTCCTTGGGACACTTTGGTGTTCCACAAAGATATACTTAGTGTGCTAATTAAACTTGGGTTTTCTCTTTTGGTTAATTTTTGGGACTAGTAGCCCCAGGAATGAAAGTGTGAACGTGGATGTATCTGCTGCTGAAGGAGCGAGTCAGTAGTGGGCAGGGCTGGGGGAGGACAGAAAATCACCCGAGGGCGTGGGCTCCGCAGGCTCACCCACCAGCAGCCAAGAGCCCGTTAGAGGAAAGAGGCCGGCTCGGGCCTCAGGGCCTCTGAGGAACTTGTCTGCCTGACTTCGGCACAGAGTCAGGCTCCAGAGGTGGACAGCCGCCTCTCAGACCTTGAGGACAATCTGCCGTTTCCCCCATGACTGTCATGCCAACCCTAAAGGGGTTCCCTACCAGGAAGGGAGACCTCAGGTGTGCGACCTGCCCACGAATAGCCTCCTGAAGCTGTCTGGCAAAACAAAAGCATAATAAATGCTTGGATAAATGGAAAATTGTACCTGAAATTCAACCTGTGCCCTGACAGGTTTTGGCATTCTTTTAAATATCCCCAACTCACCCACGACTTAACCGACTTCCCCTAGTTGTCACCGTCATGAGAAACATGCTGCATGGAGCAGTGATCTGACTCAACATCATTTTTTGCCCTACTCCTGCTAGGTCCTGTTTATTTAAGAGAAAAGGCTTTGCCCTCCAGGCCCTAACCCTCGCACTGGCAGGACACATTCCTAGGAACGCGCTAGGAGGGACAGCTGGGAGCGGGGCAACATTCCAAGGCGCGTCTGTGCTGCTGGGGAAATGGACTGTGTCACCCCTGCAGGGGCCACCTTGGCGACTGCCTGGGCAACTCCCTCAGCCCGCCTGGCTGGCCCTCACCTTCCCTGCCACCTGGGGAAGGACCGCACTTTGCAGAGGCAGCCGTCCCTCTCGGTCCCCCTCGGCCCCTCCCCTGAGCTGGCTAAAGTGCAAGACCCGAAGGTCGCTGAGCATTACCTGCAGCTCCCAATCACACTTGGCACCAGGAATGAACTGACTGCAGCTTAAAACTCCTGCCCTTACAAATGCCTCACCAAATTCTTTAAGTTCCCCTCTTTACCCTCGTAGGGGAAAATGAGAAACACGACCACTGAAGGGGCGGAGGGGGGGCACAGGGGCTCGCAGGTGAAATCACCCACCAGTGAGGTCGTGAGTCCCTGACGTGATTCACAGAGCTGACTGGAACCGAATCAAGACCACGAGAGGTCAGGGAAGCAAACAGAGGGAAAGGAAATGGAAAAAACCCCAAACAGAACTGAGGAGGAAATGGGTTGTGGGTGTTCAGTGACTACTTACGCATTGGGCGGAGAAGAGAGAACCTCTTTGCTCTCCCCTCAGGCCTCTGCCTCTTTGCTTGGGAAAGAGAAGGGGCCTGGAATTCCCAAAGCAGGATAAACAGGAACCCCAAGGTCTCGGTATCACCAATGTGGTTCCGTTAAAAAGGGAAGAGAAGAGAAAAAAACCCAAACCAACCCCATGACCAATGTGAAGAGGGACGCTGGGATCTGCCTTTCTCGCACCCTGGTGTGAAATGCCCCCCGCTCAGCCACGGGGGTCACACTATACTGGGCAGAGGTAAAAATTCTTTTCCTCCTGGGGTTTGCTTATCCAGTTCCCGTAGCCCATGTCCTTCAGGCTTTTTTTGAAATAGTTCTTGGCTGCCTCATAGTCACGGGCAGCTTTCTTGGCCTCACCATAGGAGAGTTTAAGTAGATCCCGGCGGCCCCGGAAGGAGCAGAGCCTCTTAAATAGAAGAAAAATGTTCTTTTTGGAGACCCGGGACAATTCATTCCGTGGCCTGGAGAAACAAGAGCATTCATTACTCACCTGGGGCCAGGAAAGGAGGGGAGCCCTTGGTGGAGATGCCACGGTGGGAAAGGCAGCTCTGGAGATCGGAAACACGTCCCTGCGAGTCATTGCTGTGCCCCCTGCTCCTTACCCGTCCACGGTGCCCCTGGTCCCATCCAGGATCTCCAGGTCATAGCCGTCAGCCAGACACCAGTTGACGCTTGTCTCCTTGGTCTTCCCCGACTGCCTTTTGGAATCATATACGCTGACCCGGCCTACCTAGGGGTCCCAGGAGCACCAAGAGAAAGATGGAAACCGCTCAGGAAAAAGGCGCGAAGCAGGGACTCGAGACTCACAGGGAAGAGGGAGTGAGGGCTTGTGACCTTTCCCCCTTATGTAGCATTCTGTGTGACTGTGACTCGAGGTGTACGGACTCCATAGACTCAAATTAATTCAAGACAAAAAGCAGCACAGCTGTTGGCATTCAAAAGGAGAAAAGGGTAAGTTCTTGGGATACCAACTAAGGCTCCCCTTGACTACACTGTATATTTTTGCTCTGCAAACAGATTACTTGAAAAGGAGAAAAATGTCAAGGGAAAAATGCATGGGGTTACATAGAGCACCTTGGGGTGGTTGACAATAAAGGGGTATCGTAGTCCATCCTCAAATGCACTCCCATCTCTTGTCACACGACAGCAAATGGCACGAGTCAGATGCCCTTGGCTGAAAAGGTAACCTAGGTAAGAAGAAGAAATGTACATGACCATGTTTGCACCTAATGTCGTTAAGAGGCAGAGGCATGTTGGGGGGCAGGGGTGTCTGAGAGTACAAAACGGTTGTCAAGACCAGAGAAACAGCTCCCTTGTTAAGAAGCGCCTTCTGACTGTGGCTACCTAGGACATACATGGGATCATCACCAAACGTGTAAGCGAAACGTGTAAGGTTCCAGGTTCCAGGTACAGCTAAGGGCTGGGGAGATCAAGAAAAAACATTGCAGCTTTAAGCTGCTGTTTCTTTAACTCATCGTGAAGCGACCCGCCTGCATGTCCTCACCTGGGCTCGCTGCCTAAACCAACCTCCCCCTTGGGACGGACTGGGCACTCAGAATCAATTGCTGACAGCTGAGCCAAACACACTTTGAAGGGGGTGATGTCATGCTAACACCTGGCAATGAAGCATGCAGCCTGCTGAGGTCCGGGCACTAGGAGGACAGATTGGTCCTGGCTCCCGAGACAGGTCCCTTACCCAGTGTGACAGATTTGAGATACACAGGCTGCAGGAAGTGGGTCAACAGTGCCCCTTGCAGGCCCAGCACGTTCCAGCGCAGGATTTTGTCACTACAGGACATGGTACGGAGTCTCTCCCCAAGCCGAATGCCGTCCCACGTAGGCACAATGTCACTGGACTCCACTGGGATTGTGCCTTCCCCTGTGAGAGACCTGGGTCAGACTCCTGGGCCAGGGCACTCCAGGGCGTGTTGCTTGTACCTTAGACTTGGGCCACAGGCCCCTCCTTTGTTCTTCGTATATCCCATAGCACCTTCTATGTGCTGGGCACTGTGCCTCATGCTGGGAAATCATGGTGAGCAAAACCGGGTGAGATCCTTATCCTCCCAGAACGTTTATGGAGGTGTGAGGACAGAAAGGGAACGGACCAGACACCAAACAATGAACCAACACAGACGCAAGGCTGCAGTGACCGTGCTCTGAAGGCTGGGAGCGAGCGCAGGGGACCCGCTGGGGTAAAACTGTCGGGGGCTGAGGCGCGAGGAGAAGGAAGAGCTGAGAGTGTCTCAGACACATGGGAGAGCAAAAGCAGAGGCCCAGAGGCAGCAAGGGGGCCGGCTGTTCAGGGAGCTGACTAAAGCAGGCGCGGGCGCAGGGTTTGCTTTCATGTGACGTGTATTGGGAAACCATTATAGGGTGATGGTTTGTTCTTTTCGAAATAACAGCTTCAGTGAGAGAGAGAACTCATTTATTTAAAGCATACAACTCAAATGATTTTTTTAGTATATTCAAAGTTGTGCGACTGTCACTACAACCAATTTTAAAGCATGTCATCGCTCCCAAAAGAAACCTCCATTAGTAGTCGCACCCCATTTCCCCCAGCCCCTCCCACCTCGATGCTACTAATTTACTTTGTTTCTATGGCTTTACCTCTTCTGAACATTTTATATAAATGGAATCGTATCATGCTATCTTTTGTGTCTGGTTTCTCTCACTTGTAATGTTTTCAATTTCAAGGTCCACCCATGTTGCAGCACGTCTGGGTATTTCATTCATTTTCATGGCTGAATAATATTCCATTGTATGAATATATCTCATTTGGTTTATCCATTTATCAGCTGATGGGCATTTGGGTTGTTTCCACTCTTTGCTATTATAAATAATGCTGCTGTGAACTTTTATGTACAAGTTTTGTGTGGACAAAGGCTTCCGTGTCTCTTGGAGAGAAAGGCCTAAGAGCGCCTCTGTCTGCACTTAAGGATTCTGAGCGGGGAGGTGACATGCTCTGACTCATGTTTGGGGTCGCTCTGATGACTGCAGAAGGAAACCGGAGAGGCGGTGAGGAGACAGTGAGGGGCATCAGAGGCCAGTGGAAAAGCAGCTGGCAGACAAGGCGCAGATGCAGCAGCAAACCAAGGGGACCCAGGCACGCAGCGCCCCCTGTCCCTCTGCAGGGCTTGGCCCTGCACTGCTTTTTCTCCTCTCCACCCTCCCCGGAGGTGACTCTATCCACTCCCACAGCTGCAAAGATCACCCATGGGAGGGTGACCCCCAAACTGTCACTTCAGCCAGGCTCTCTCCTCTGAGCTCTAGGCGCTTACCTCTGCCTCCCACTTGATCTTAATCTTCCTACAGACCTGCCCCCGACCCGGACCCTCCCTTCTCCCTGGAAACAAGGCCCTAGCACCCCAGCAGCTAATGGCAGAACCTCGGCAGTGTGTCCTTGTCCCCGCGAGGGGCCGGGGCTCCGCAGAGCCCGTGTGTGGGAAGGAGCCCGCCTCACTCACCGTTCTCCACCTTGGTGCGGAGCTTGCCTTGCTTGGGGTTCTCAAAGACGGGGTAGTGGCGGGAGTCTGTGCTCTCCACTGCACGGTCGCTGCAGGATTTGTCAAAGAGGGCCCCGTCCCCACATGGGGCCGTACTGCGAACAGGGGCATCTGTTAAGACTTGCCCGTGCAGGTGTTTCCCATTCCCTGAGCTCAAGGACTGTCCCTTGCGGTGTAAACAAGGGACTTTCTCTGAGGCCTGTCACAGGCGACTGGGGCGGGAAGGGTGTAGGTGGGACTCGTTCCACACCAGGTACGTGCAGGGCTGAGCGGGGCCTGTGGAATCGGCTCTGATTTACGGACTAGGAGAGCACTCGGACGCCCCTCCCGGGAGGTGTGGCGGGGCCGGGGGTGCAGGCGCAGACGGACGATGCAGACCTGATGTAGAGGTGGAACGACACGGTCTTCTTTATCTGCAGCTTCTCTCCTCCCCTGGCAGGTTCAAATATACTGTCCTTCGCAGTCTGGGGGTTGTACTTCATCAGCTCGTTGTACAGAAACCTACGAGGAGCAAGTCTGGCTAAGATGACGCTGTGATTCTGGGAAAAGCAGTTGCTTCTGCAGTCTGACCTCAAGTAAGAAAAGCCTGAATGCTGCAGACCTTCCTCTGTTTCCCAGGCTGCAAGAGGTGGTGGAGACTCCCCACGGGAGACCTCAGCATCTCCCAAAGCCAGGTCAGCCGGGGTCGGGTGCACTTCTGCCAGGAGCTTCCCGCTCTGGCAGGCACAGGGGCTCCAGGGAAGAACAGATGGGTCATGGGCCACAGGGGGGCTGCGGCCTCTCCCTGAGTCTCTCCACCACACAAGGGGAACCGGAGGGGAAAGCTGGCAGGCCAGGGGGTTGTTTAAAGATCCTCAAATGCAGATGGGGGGCTTCCTCATCTCTGAGGTCATCTTGCGCTTTTTAAAAAAGGCACGAAGCAGAGTTAGCAGAGAAAGGGAGAGCACTTCGTAGCAGGCCGAGCAGCGGGGACAGCCTGGGTCGCAGGTTCAAATGGCCGACACTGCGGTCAGTGGCCTGCCGGCGGCTGCCGCCCCACGACCGCGCTCACCTGATGAAGCCCCTGCGGGAGATGATCTCTGCATGGCAGTCATTGACGGTCTCTCCCTTCAGGCTCAGAGAGTCTCCTTTCACACAGCGATTTCCTGGAAAGGCATCGACAGTAAAGGGGAAATTTCCAAAGGAAGTGATGATGAAGAGGGTAGAGGCTGTTTGTTAAGGCCTGAAGGCAGGAACAGCCTCAATTCACCAGATCCTGACTCCCACACGCCCTTCCCTAGGAAATGAGAATTTGCTCCCCACTGAGTTAACTGTAGCTACACTGAAACGTAAGAAAAGCCTTTCCCCCACTACCTTGAACTTGCCCCCATGGGACGCCAGGAGAGAACGGCAGCACGTGCTCCCAGGCACCGTGCTGGGGGCGACGCTTCAAAGCCTCACTGACCTGTCCCCAAGCTGACCACAACCCCCAGGTCTTCAGAGTCTTTTTTCATGATGATTGCAGCCAGGATCTTGCGGCCGAGCAAGGAAGGCTGGAAACTGTTGGTGAGAGTGTTGAAGCACCGGTGGCTCAGCATGGCTATCTGGTCGTGGAAGGTGCTGCCGGTGAGAGGGAGCTGCGGGGACAGGAGGCCATGTCAGGGCCACAGGCCCGGGCGGCGGCCGCCACGTCTCAGATGGGCGGGGAGATCACATTCACGTGACCGTGAACCGTCTTTCCCCCTCTCATACCTAGTGTCCTGGTTCCATGTTCTATGAGGCTAATATTAAAGCCCAGGAATAATTCATGAACTAGCAACTTAAAAGCTAACTCCACCCAGACAGGAGCTGGCTGGACCCCCAAAAAAGAGAGCACAAAAGTAGACGTCTTAACTGTCTTTGGCTGTGCTTCTGGGGACCTTGAGAGGAGAAGCATAGTTCTTCTGAGACTGGCCCCTGTCACTGGGGTTACCTCTGTGAAACCCATGCGCTCTGCCTTCTCGTTCTCCCCAATCAGGACGCGGAGAGCGGCGTCCGCTGCCTCCTGCTTGCCTTGCTTCTTGCTGTGTGCGCAGACGGCTGGGAACCAGCGACCCCCGACTTTTGCTTGGTAAACAAACCTTTGGGAAAAGAAGTCAGGGATCAAGACAAGCACCTGAGCTGATGGCAGTTGCAGCGAAGGGCTAGTTTTGCTCGGGGCAGCCGGTCCGGCAGCGTGAGGCCCCGCCCTCACACGGCTCTGTTTCCAGACCTGGGACATTCAGGGGTCACAATGTGGTTTCTTTCTTTTTTTTTTTTTCCCCCCCGTGTCCCAGGGCAGCTGCGTCACCCTTGACAGGTCAAGGGAGTCACAGTACCCTGGAATGTTTCTGTGGCAGACGAAAAAAGCATCACAATGTGGTTTCTGCTAGACTCAGATACCACCTGGACTACTACTGATGTAACATTTTCCCCTAAATTGATTCTTTCAAAATGCAAACACATTTGAAAAGAAAAATTCCTGTCACTGTTATAAATGAGAAACCAGTATCATTTGCTGTAATTCGAAGATGGTTGTAAAACTGAGTATGATAAAGTCATTAAATTCTGACTAGACACTATTGCTTGTAAAGACTCTAGGCTGGTCTTTATTATAAAGGAACTTGTAGCAAGAAGAGATGGTTTAAAGAAATACTACCACCAAATGTGGACTTTCTTCCCAAGCAGAAATGGGAAAGAAATAGCTTTCTCCCCACTTGAACCACCAGTTTTTAATGCTCCGATTTACCTGGTTTCCATTTCCTCATTAGCTCAAGAGGACTTAGCCTAGAGCAGTCAAGATGTCGAGGTCTGCCGTAGACCAGGGAACCAAACTTCCACGAGGAGTTACTTTTCGATTCCTCAAAGCCCTGAGGTGGCTACCAGGGGACAGGAGGTACCTGGGGCACGTGAGCTCTGCTGACTGTACAGGCCTCGAGCGGAGCAGGGAGGTGGGCAGCGCTGCTGGGGGCACCTCCCTTCCTGGCAGGATCTTACACACACACAGGAAGCGCAGGATGGAGCAAAACGGCTGGGGCATCAACCAGGCAAGGGTTCAAGAACCCTAGATTTCAACCAGATCCTAATCTGCTGGTCGGGGACCCTGCTTTGGCTAATCCAACTGCATATGGGAAAGGCTTCAGTATCAAGACTGAGCAGCTCAGGACTTCTGGCCTAGATGGAGGCGCAGGAATAAACACTTTGCCTCCTCACACAACCAAAAAAAGGGCAACACATTTAAAAATAAAAAATAACCAGAACTGCCAGAGAATCGAACTGTATGGAAGCCTGACAACCAAGGAATTAAAGAAGAAAGATTTATCCAGACCAGCAGGAGGGGCGGAAATGGGCAGTGTGGCAAGGCTGCAGCTGGAGCACCAGGTGGGCGAGGCGGCAGCTGGCAGACCACAGAGCCCCACATTTGCATGATGACAGACCGGGAGGAACAGCTGGGGAGTGAGAGAGACCACACAACCCAGGGTTCCAGTGCGGGAAGAGAAAAGTCTCAAAACCTCTGGAGGTAAAAACCTCTCTGGGTTGCGGCAGCAGGAGAAAATCCCAGCCTCACAGGAGAGTCCCTTGGAGAGACCCATGGGGTCCTAGAATGTACACAAACCCACCCGTCTGGAAATCAGCACCAGAAGGGCCCAATTTGTTTGTTGGTAGTGGGGGAAGTGACTGAAAGCCTACTAAGAGCCGAGCAAGTGATACTGTTCCCTCACGGACCACCCCCCCACAGCATCACAACGCAGTTGACCTGGTACCCCTCCCCCCGCAAATACCTAATACCTAAGGCTCTGCCCCTTCCAACATCACAGAAGCGCTGAGACAAGGAAATATGGCCCAAATGAAAGAACAGATCAAACCTCCAAAAATAGAACTAAGTGATGGACAGATGGCCAACCTATCAGATGCATTAATTCAAAACACTGGTAACCAGGATGCTCACTGAATTGGTTGAGTATGGTCACAAAATGGAGGTAAAAAATGGAGGTAAAAGAGAAGGCTATACAAAGGAAAATAAAGAAAAATAAAGAAAAATATATGTGGAACCAACAGTAAAGGGAGGAAACTGGGACTCACATCAATTTGGAGCAGAAGGAAGAAAAACAATCAACAGAACAGAATGAAGAAACAAGAATTCAAAAAAATGAGGAGAGGCTTAGGAACCTCTCGGACAACTTTAAACATTCTAACATCCGAATCATAGGGGTGCAGAAGGAGAAGAAGAGGAGCAAAAAATTGAAATCTTATTTGAAAAAATAATGAAGGAGAACTCCCCCAATCTGGCCAAGGAAATAGATTTCCAGGAGATCCAGGAAGCTCAGAGAGTCCCAAAGAAGTTGGACCCAAGGAAGCACACACCAAGGCACATCATAATTAAATTACCCAAGATTAAAGATAAAGAGAGACTCTTAAAAGCAGCAAGAGAAAAGGAGACATTTACCTACAAAGGTGTTTCCATAAGACTATCAGCTGATTTCTCCAAAGAAACCTTGCAGGCAGGAAGGGGCTGGCAAGAAGTATTCAAAGTCATGAAAAGCAAGGACCTACATCCAAGATTACTCTATCCAGGAAAACTATCATTTAGAATGGAAGGGCAGAAAAAGTGCTTCCCAGATAAGGTCAAGTTCAAGGAGTTCATCAACACCAAGCCCTAATTATACGAAATGTTAAAGGGACTTATCTAAGAAAAAGATGATCGAAAACTATGAACAGTAAACAGAGGGGAGGAGGAGAGGAAAGAATGGGGAAAAGGTTCAGGGAATAAGCAGCATAAATAGTAGGTACAAAATAGGCAGAAGGAGGTTAAGAATAGTATAGGAAATGGAGAAGCCGAAGAACTTACATGTACGACCCATGGACATGAACTGGGGGGGAAATGCTGGGGGATGGGGTGGTGGAGGGGAATAAGGGGGAGCAAAAAATGGGACAACTGTAACAGCATAATCAATAAAATATATATTAAAAAAAGAAAAAGGAAAAAAGACTTAGCAGCTCAGGTGGTAACAGGAATTGACCTTCATTGGCAACCACACGGAGCCTCTCACTAGCCCTGGCTTACCCTGAGCACCGAATGCCTTCATTCCCTCCTTTGCTGCTGCCAGCAGGTCCGAGCAGGGCAGCGGGCTGAAGTTCCGTGAAGGAGAGGGCAGTGGACTGACAGACAGTGGAGAGCGGGTGGAGGGCTAAATGAAGTAGGATCTGTCAGGGGGATCCTGAGAATTTCATGATGGTTCCATGTGTTTGAACATATACATGTATCTATGATAAAATTTGTGCATTATGCCACTAGAAACCTTTAGAGCTGCACTGTCCAATAAGGTAGCCACTAGCCACGCGAGACTATTAACTTTAATTAAAATTCCATACAATTAATAATTGAGTTTTCAGTCACACTGGCCACACTTCAAATGCTCAATAATCACAGATGGCTGGTGCTTAGCCTTCTTAGTGAAATGCTAGGGACAAAAGCGCCATTGGAATGAGTTAAGAAGTGAAGACAAAGGTTATAAATAATTCTTTGAAGAGTTGTGGCTGTGAGGGAAGCAGAGAGACGAGGTGGCACCTGGAGGGAGACGTGGGGTCAAGGGGAGGTTCCTAAGGCAGCACGGGCACGTCTACAGGGATGGCTCAGCAGAGGGTGCACCTGGTGGTGAGGGAGGGCGGCAATCAAAGGGACAGACGAGAGGAAGGGGCCCCAGGCACAGCGATGGAGGGAGGGTGCTCCCTGCATACGGCGCAGACACAAGGACACATGTACGCAGGGAGGTGAGTTTGCTGATGGCAAGGTGAAATATTTGTCATATGATTATTTTCTCAATTAAGTGTGAATGAAGGTCACCAGTTTAGTGTGAGGAAGAGGGGTTTTGGTGGATATTTGAAGAAAGAGACAAAGGTCTGAAATAGTTCTTTTCAGAGTAGGAAAGAAAATTTAGTACAAAAATATAGTAGGAAAAATGCTGGCAAGAGGGGAAAAGTGGGAGTGGGGGCAAGTGGCAGTCCCTTACTTAAAACCCTTCAATGGGTTTCCACTGTTTGTATGGTAAAAGCCTACACCCTCCAGCCTCAGCCGGCGCCAGGCCTCCAGTGCGCTCGGCCCCACGCACACGGGCGCCCACGGCCCCGCCGCCCCCTGCCGCACTGGGGGCTACTGGCCTCTGCCCAGCACCCTCCACCTTCGCCTCACCTCCACTGTAACGCTGCGCTGTGATACGTGTCTGCAGCATTCTCTTCATCCTCCTCATTTCTCAGGGAAGCCCTCTCCCCTCTCCTTACCAAGTCAAGCCAGGCCAGGTAGATTCTCACTGCATCACGCAGCTCAAGCCCTTTGTAATGCAAATCGATGTGAGAGCTACATTTCATGTGATTATTAGTTATCTGGCTCCTGTTGTAACAAGTAAGTATCTGTTGAATGAATGAAGTAGGGAGATCAGGACAAGACCACCAAGGGTTACACCAGAGAAGACGGTGACTTAGTCCAGAGGGTAACAGTGAAGGTGGAAAGAGGAGGAAGGGATTTGGGATAGAAATAAACTGAACTTAAGGATGGACAGCAGCATCAGCTCCCAAAATGGGAAAGACCCAGCACAGAAGAGTGTAAGGGAGCAAAAACCAAAGCTCTGCTTTGGACGTGTCATATTAGAGATGCTTATCCCAGAAGACAGGACAAGGAAGCAGCTGGATAGAGTGGCGTCTGGAGCTCCGAACAGGTCTCCAGCATTTCAGTAATAAAAGTCATAAAATTAGTGAAGGTTGCCAAGGAGAACAAAAAAAAAAAAAAAGAGGACCTAGAATAATTCACAGAAGGAAGTAACGTGTGTTATCATACTAGACGTTCACTAATTGTAGTTTCTGAATTAGTGCTCCCCCTCCCCGACCCCCCAGGAGGGCCTGGCCACACTGCGCGCCGCATTCACCTCCACCGCGACACTGCGCTGCGATCACGTGTCACCAGCGCACCGCGGCGCAGGCGGTTTCCGTATCCTCAATCTAGTTCACAGTAAGCTCTTAAGTTCTGAATGAATGACTGCCTTGAAGTCCTAGAGAGGATTTTAGAGAAGATTTTACTGAAGAGAAAGAGGAAATGGATAAACCTCCCACAAGAAGGATGAGGTTAAAGCCAGGGGGTGTGAAGAGTGTGAACGAGAAAAGCAGCCGGAGGGAGGCTGCTCCCCAACCTCCTGAGCTGCCTGTAAACAAAGGGCCGAGTGCCGCCGCTCTAACTCTTTCTAAATGCAGCTGACCCAGCTAGGCGGACTGTTCTAAACTGGGGCATGCTGGTCAAATACTAGTTTTTTAAATGACATTAAATGCTCTTATGTGTCCATATGGAGTTAACGAGCCAAAGGAAAGATAGGTAAGGACAAGAACAGGTAGTTGACAGAAACGGAAGTACAAATAAAATATAAACAGGAAGATGAATAACATTATCTACTATTAAAACAAATTAAAATATAAGATACCATTTATGAGTTTTCCTTAATGATTTTTAGAAACTGAAACAGACTACCACACGAGTAAAAATTCAAAGAGTTAAGAGTGTAACTTGTAAAATGAGTGTCCCTCTTTCCCTAGAAGCAAATACAATTAACAGGGTTTCTTATCTTTCATGAGAATATTCTATGCATATATAAATATGCTACTTCTCTCTCCCCCCCAACTTTACGCCTTGGTTTTTCATTAGGAATACACCTTGAGGTTGTTTCATATAGATTGCATTTTACTCTTTTTTAGTACTGTTTGGTATTCCTAAGTGTCGATGTGCCGTGTTTTACTTAACCAGTCTGCAAATGATGGAACGTCACATCATTCGGAGTCTTGTGTTATGCTGCAATGAAAAGCTCTGTACTTATACCATGTGTTGTGTGTGTGTGAACTCCTGAAGGTGGCATTGCTAGGTCCAAGGCACTACTTTCTGCCCTTGGCTATAATGTAGACGGTAAGTTCCATCACTGTTGCTTAAGTCCATCAATGAAGTGTAATTTAATTGACAGAGCGAGGATGAGCACTTGATCATTTACTAATAATTCATTACTTTTATTTTTGTTTTTTTATTTTTCTATTAGATTTGAAAAAATCCTTTATATATTTAATATTTAAAAATTTAGCCTTGGGCTGTTGTTTATCACAAGGGCTTTTTCCCCTCACGTGGTCCTGCTGACAACATACCAATTTTTCTTATGGTCGTATTTCTTTTTCCTTTATCACTGTTTTATATCTTGACTGTAAAGGCTTTCACCACCCCAAAATTCTAAAACTCCCCCCAAGAGTCCCTACTTTTTATCGAGTGCTTTTATGATTTCATTTACTTTATATTTAAATCCTGGATCCAATGGAAGGAGACACCCAACTGTTCTTTTTAGATGGACAGTCAGCAGCTTCAGCACCATTACCGAATGGCCCATCACTTCCCCACTGAGTTGAAGCCTCGTCTTTCTAATGTACAAAAATCCCACTGATGTCTATGTCTGCTCTTAAGCGCTTCATTCTGTTCCACTGACCCGCCTTTCTATCCACAGACCAGTACAGCATTATTTTAATGTCTGCTAGAACCAGTTACTTTATCATTCTTTCAAATTTTTCCTATCCTTGCCTCTTTATTTTTCATATGAACTTTAGAATCAAAGTTTTCTAATTCTAAAATCAATTTTAGTTCTAAAGAAAATAAATTCTAACGGTGTTTTACTGGGATCACATTAAAGGTAAAGATTAATCTGGGGACAAGTGCTACCATTAAGTTATTCTATCAGTTCACCCCCCAACTCCCAATGTAATCAGTTTTCCTTTATAGTCTTCAGTGGCATTTTACTTAAGGCAGAGCCCACACACGATGTTGTCTGTCCGGAAAAAGCCCAGCCACTGTTAACATAATGAGAATGGTTGGCACGACTTCAATGTAACCTGGCAGCCAAGGAGGTGGACTGGAATGCGCATGTGTGAACAATGATGATTTCACTGTACTAGTCAGTGGGGGCGGTAGATGATGTTGAGTGAGCATGTGTACTGTGTGGCCACTGCATTCAAAATGACTGAGTAGAGTAATGAATCTGCATCAAGTTGTGTGTTAAGCCTGAACATTCCTCCACGGAAACTAATATGATTCAGCAGGCTGCAGCTATGGGCAACTGGAGACTGGCAGCTTCATCCCAACAACATGCAGCGTGCAGAGTTTTTTGGCAAAACATCAAAATCATCCAGGTGGCTCAGCCCTTTTACAGACCAGATTTGATGCCCTGTGACTTCTGGCTTTTCCTGAAACTAAAATCACCTTTGAAAGGGAAGAAATTTCAGACTCTTGATGAAATTCAAGAAAATACAATGGGGCAGCTAATGGCGATTGGGAGAACTGTGCGGTCCCAAGGTGCCTATTTTGAAGGGGACTGAGGCATCATTGTCCTATGCACAATGTTTCTTGTATCTTCTTCAATAAATGCCTCTATTTATAGAAGACAGACACCTTCCAGGCAGACCTCATACTTCATATTAGGGATGTGCCTACATCATTTATTTTTTTAGTTGCTATTGCAAATAGGGTATTTCCTGCTACGTTTTCTAATTGCTTGTTGCTGTATACAGAACAGTTCTTTATTCTTATACATTATTTTGTAATCCCCCACTCTCCTAGATTTTCCCTGTCTCTAATATATAATTTTCTCATGAATATTCCATGTATTCAATCATCATCTGCAAATAATGATAACTTTACATCCTCTCTCCTCTCTTTATACTTATTTTCCTCCAATGACCGCATTAACCAGCAGTTCCAGAATAATATTAAATAAGGATACTGGCATCCACACCTTCTCCTGACCTGGGGGACCAGCTCCAGGCTCAGCACTACGTAAGCTGCTGGCTCTTGACTTCAGACATGCATCTTTATCATGCTAAGGAGGCGTTCAATAATTTAACAGACTGGGTTTTTAAAAAAATCTAAATGAATGTTGAATTCTACTGAATGACTTTTTGGAATTTCTCTTGATGATCACGTGGTTTTTCTCCTTTGACCTATTACTACGGTAAATTATAATAAATATCTGAATGTAGACTAATCTTTTCACTGTAGTAACATGCCATTTTTCACACTTTAGAATGGCAAAGATAAAGAAGTTGGTAACACCATACTGGCCACGGTGTGGGGAAAAGCCATTCTTCGTGGTCATGGTATCTCCTCTGCCAGGTAAGCACGGAAAAGCCATTCTCACATACAGGGTGGGGCAGAAGCAGGTTTACAGTTGTTCGTGTGGAAATACTATAATTAATAAATAATACAAGAATAAACTGTGTTTTGCATACTCACAACTGTAAACCTAATTTTGCCCCACCCCGTATTGTTGAGGGGAGCATAAGCTGGTATAATTCTCATCAGAGGATGGCTCAGTTGGTGGGAGCATCCTCCTATGCACCAAACGGTTGTGGGTTCAATCCCCGGGTACAGGAGGGCAATGGTCAGTTTCTCACTCACATCGGTATTTCTCTCCTCCCCCCACCTTCCTCTTTCTCTAAAAATCAACAAACGTATCTTCAGGTGAGGATTAAATAAATAAATAAAACTTAAAAAACCCCCGACATGACCCATGGCCCAAAAATTCCACTCCTGAAACTTTATACCACAGACGTGTTTACACACATGAGCAGACATACATACAGTACAAGGAGTTACTGCAGGAGTGTTTTTAATAGTAAAACCAAAACCAGCCTGGATGTCATTGGAGGTTGGTTAAATAAATTATGTAAGGGAAATTATGTTGGGCTTCAGCAGTACCAACATTTACTTTCTTAAACAAGGTGGACTGTATCAGTGTTCATTTTAGAAAAGACCTTTCATATCCCTGGTTTAATGAAACCATTTTAAAATTGTCAGCCTCTATTCAATGAAATATTATATAACTGTGCAAGAGTCTGACACATCATACATGCTGATTTGTAATGATCTCTAAGATACATTCGTAAGTAAAGGAGTCAAAGCATAGCATAGAAGATATGTTATATACTTATTTTTCTTTAAAAAGAGGAAAATGTGCTAATATATGCATGGAAATTTCTAGAAGGACTCAGGAAACTGGTAATAGTGTATATGGTGGAGTATGGGGAAAGAAACTAGAAATCTGAGATAGAAATGAGACATTTTGTTGCATACTTTCTGAATCAGCTTGAATGATTTTCTATGTATATATGTAGTTCTTTCAAATTAAAATTAGTTAAAAAAATTAAAAAGGATCATGTTCATTGGAAAAGTGACTCTATTCTCAAGATGGCTGATCTTCTAGGGGGTCACAGAGACAGGGCTGGACCTGTTTCTCTCAACTTGCCCCTCCCGTCCTGTCATTCACAGCTAATGCACATTCTTTCTTTCCCTGGGTTACAGGCTGTCCCCACCCTGTGACTCACGGCTGTGGCCAGGACTGGAACACTCACTTGGGCTCGTGAGGAGGTCCGGACTGGTCAACCAGCTTGAACTCAGCAGCAAAGCCGTGGGAGCGCGCGTATTCTAACAGGCCGCCCACAGGGTTAGTGTTCAGGTATCGGACGAGCTCGCCAATCCGCCTAACCTTGTTGGGCATCGCAGATTCCAAGTTATCAAACGATTCTGTGTTGGTACTTCCGGGCTGAAACAGAATTAACCAAACCAAGAGGAACTCTAAACACTTGAGAATACTCTGAGGGACTCATGGGCAATCCTAAGCCATCGTGTTGCTAAAAATGACCTGTATCTTTTGAGTAGGGAATGGCCCCACCTGGTTATCAGAAGGTGTCGAGTTGGTCGCCTCCCCATGCAGGGCCTTCATGGCTTCCTCGGCAGCCATCTGCTTTGCTGCTTTCTTGCTGGGGGCACTGGCAGTGGGGAAAGTGTGGGTTCCCATCGCAACACAGTATTGGAACCTGGCAGGAGATGAAAGAAGAATTAAATTGGTTTCGATTAAAGAGATGCACCTAGCCTTGGTCAGGATGTCATCCTTTAGGACTTGTCATTTCCTTGCACACATCACCTCTGTGCCTTGGCTCATGCAGTCACTTCTGCCTTGAAGAGCTGGTGCCTTTCTCCCTCCTCCTGCCCCCAGTCTCGCTCAGCCTAGCTGACCCCTACTCAACACTTAAGCATCAGCCTAGTTTCACCTCCTCCGGGAACCCTTCTCTTGAGCATGTAAGTGCAGAGCCTCAGAGCAGAGCTTGTCACGCACAACCCAGGTCTCGTACCGTTTTGTCCCACCACCAGTAACCTCCAAGCCGGCATCTCCCTAGCGCTTGGTCCCTGCCGCGCCCTTTGAATTCCTAGTCCCAGATTCTCTGCCATGCCCTCAAGGCCCCCCTTCTTCCATATCGAAAACAGGAGTGATCGCTCCGTGAAATAATCTGCCATCTCTGAGGCGGCAAGGAGGAACTGTATCTCTCTCTTTTTTGAGAAAACCTCAGCAGAGATACATGATACAAGAGATGTACTTGGGGTCATGGGCAGGGCCTTCTCTGGATAGGAGGCGGAATTCACAGGAGCTCCCCAGCTTGTGCACACACTCAAGCAATGTGGTGACGGGGTTCTTCCCAGAAAAGAAGGAAGTTGCTGAAGGGGTGGTGGGCTGGGACTCTGCAGTCTGGAGAAAATGAGAGACAAAGAAAAACAAAAACAAAACAAAACAACTAAGAAAACATTGGCTGGTCTATCAGAGCAGAGAGAATGGCGATGGGAGAATTTCTTTTGGTCGACTACACGTTAGGGCTGGCCCTCCGAAGGTAGAGGGCTGTGGGAATTTTGTAAGCATTACAGGAAAGGGTGAGCTATTTCAATGTCTGGGTCTCTTTTCTTATCTGGTGATCGGGCTTGATGATCTTTACTGTCTCGTTCAACTCTGCTATCCATAGTTCTACTTGGTAGGGGGCAAGAAGAGGAGCTGGGCGAGAGGAGGTAAGGTGGGCTGGCGGGGGCGGGGGGCGGCGCACAGGAACAGCAGGCAGCTGACACTGAGATAAGGGATCAGCTGCGAGGCCGAGATTGTGTCACGAGGGCCAGCTCCGGTCCTGATCCTTCACGGACATGGAAAAGTAACTGATACCCTCCCAGAGGGCAGGGCACCTACCTTCTCCGGTTCCCTCTCCGTGGGACCGCAGTGCGATTCTTCCGGCCTTCCACTGTCCTTGGCTTTCGCTTCCTCAAGCAGGACGGTCATGGCTTTCACAGCTGCATCCTGCTTGGCCACTTTCTTGCTGCCAGCTTCAGCTGGGGGAAACTCTCGGCCATTGATGACAACTTGGAATTTAAATCTTGATGGAAAGTGATTAGATGTGTGAACACTAGTCTAGGCCTCCCTTCTGCCCTCTCCAAAGAGATCTTCACCCTGGAATTCCTGCTACTCTAAGGGGCTTTCCGATTTGTGGAGGAGATGGAAGGTAGGCCAAGGGGCTCCTTGTCCCTTTGGAGGCTCAGCCTGTCCCTACTTTCTGGAAACAAAACAGCCAGTGACTACCTCCCCGTAGCTCATTAGAGCAAACCCAGCCACAGGCAATATGGAACTCGCTCAGGGGACCCACCACCTCTCATCTCTCAGCAATGAATTGAGGTAAACTCTGTACAAAAAGGATGAGTTAAAACCGTATTAGTCGTTAGCAACCGAAAAGCCTTCGTCCTAAAGAATTGTGATAGACTGCCCACCTCAAGGGCAGGTCCTAAAGCAAGTGCACGCGCCTCGCAGCGCAGTCTCACACTCCCCGGATGCCTACAGGGGTCAGACATCTGCCACTTCTCGGGGCTTGTTTTTGTCCCCAACCTACCCACAGAGACACGCCGCTCATATTTTGAGTCATTCTAAAGCTCTGTTTGTCTGAAGCCTGAGATGAAAGGAATTTCCCCGTTTATATAGAAAACCAAAAAGTGTGTGTTCTAGGCCTCTGGACTGAACTTAGACTTCCTTTGTTCAAGCTTGCAAATTTGTTCAGCTCTTTGCTCAATCTGGGATTTCATTTAGAAAAGTAGGTCAAATTTCTTATGTCCTGGGTCTTCTGAAATATTCGAATATGGCATCAGTGTTTCTTATAGCTGGAGTCCAAAGAGAGGTTAGCGGCAAAACCCACTGCTTTCCCCAACCCTGGGGAGGGGGCAGAGGGAAGAGAAGGACAGCCATCCAGTCTTTACCCCAAACAGAAATAAACCAGTCCGGTCCGCCAGCTTTTGGACAGACACACCCTCTTTACTTAACAGCTCTCCCGCAATGATGACAGTCACAATAAGGGGTAAAGGTCACGCTGGGAATCCTCACTTTTGGACAACAGCCTAGGGTAATGCCCCCGCCCTCATGGCGTGGGGGTGGGGGGTCGTCACTTAGCTTCAGGGGGTTTGGCCTTCTGCTAGGCCCTGCGGCAGCGCCTTCTGGGCCCGCCTGTCTCCCTCCACCTGTGCGCCTGTCTCCCTCCCCCTGTGCGCTGGCCTGCAGGGGCCTGGCCAGCTGTCTGAATGCAGGAATTTCCAATTTCACAGCTTAGGAGCAGCAGCGAGCACTAGCCTGCCCCTCTGTGCAGAGGGCGTATGTAAGATCAGAGCCAGCACTTCCAGGAGGCAGGCGGCAGGCGGCCGTGCCCACTCCACGCCATCCTCTCCTGACAGTGGCTGGGGGCGGGTGTGAATCCTCCGCCACTGCAGCACAGCGCGCCCTTGCTCTGGGCGTGCAGCCTGCCCCAACCCATCTGTTCTGTGCCCTCTCTGGGGATTTAGTGCAGGGAAAGGGGGAATGGCACATGAAGAGATGCGGGCAGGGAGTCAAGTCTTCATTACCTCTGGCCTTAGAAGGCCATGAAACTAATCATCTCCCAAGAAGCTTCATTTTAGCCAACAGGGTCAACCTCCCTCTTGTTCAGCCAATATTCTGGCTAGTCAGAGGTCTACATTCCCTGCTCAAGAGCTAGAGGAAGGGCCAACAAGGGTGCTTTAGCCAAAAGGTAGAAAAGAAAAGAGGGAAAAGACAGGGGCCACCACGCGGCACTGCTCATGAGTCAGCAGAGACGGCGTCAGGAACCAGAGCGTCTGACCCCAACCCTAGGCACAGTTCCTGGGGTCTCTTACCGAGGTTCATGGGGTGGTCCGCTCTGCTCTATCAGGTTGAACTCACAGGTCTGACTAGCGAACTGGGCATATTCTAACAGCCCGCTGATGGGGTTCTTCAGCTGGCACTCTGTCAGCTTCTTGTAGGGTGAGCACCGTGGCAAGCCGTGACTGTAGAAGGACGGCATCTCCATGATGGCCCGAAACTCACCCGGGGCTGCGTGGATACTATTCAAGTCATCTGGGATGTCATCTGTGGCCCACTGGCCATTTTCAAAGTCAACGTACCCTGTTTTTGAGGGGCCATTGTCCCGAACAGGTGGTTTCGGTTTTACTGGTTCTGGTGTGACCTCTTGCCTACCTTCTAACTTTATGACTGGTTCTTGCCCATTCTCCAACTTTTCTGTGGTTACGTTGTTTGAGGCATCTGACACGGGTGAGTTATTGCGGGGGAGCTCTATGCTTCTTTTGGTCTCAGGAACAGCAGGTTGCGTCGTTTCAGGAACACTGTTCGTATTTCTCTTGATTTGTATCCTCTCCCGCTTCTTGTCAGTCAAATACCATATTGGAGGGGTTGTCCCTTGCCTGTAAACATCCCCCTGCCTTTCCAAGTCAATCAGCACGGCATTGACATCTCGGGCTTTTGTGAGGCCAATATTTTTAGCCAAATTCAGAGCGGAGGACTTGAACACATTAAACAGGTAGTTGCAGATTTCTTCCTTGATCTCAGCCATGTCAAAAAGCTCCTGAGGATCTTCCAAGTTAGCTGCGGGGTTTCTGTCTTCAGTTTCCAAACTAGGGTCTGGAGCTCCCTGGCCACAAGTGTATGCTCTCGATACTTGGTCGCGCTGGCTCCAAGCCGTAACTGAGGCTGCAACTCTCCACAAAGGGGGCCTTCCTGCCTCCCGGTACACCTTACCCTTCTGCGCTAGAGAGTACAAAACGCGATTGACTTCCTTCTTTGGGACTTGGAGCTTTGCGGCCAGATCCTGAGCTGTGGTGACCCTCCTTTCGCCAAGCTCTTGCAAGAGCTCTAAGATCCTTTGTTCCTGATCCTGGCTGATCCTCAGGTCCCGGAAGTGTGAGGAAAGCCTATCAACACCTCTCCATGGCAGAATGCTGCCACGTGGGGAAGGAGGCTGGAACTCTCTCTGGAGCGCCTGACTTCTGAGAGGTGCGCCCCTGGGGACACCCCAGGTCTCCGGTTGCCTGCCTCTGGCAGGGGGTCCTGGAAACCTTGGCCAGAATTCAGGGAGGGGAAGTGGCAATGTTGGTGTCTGTTTTCCAATTAGTGGCACTTCTGGGAGCTGCCCCTTGAGAAACTCTATTTGCTGAAGCTGGAAACTATTAGGGTAAGATCCTGGCCCCGGTTGCTGGTGTCTGTGTTTGCTGTGCTCATAGCCTTGGAATGGATGGGGGTGGTATCTGTTCAGGGAAAACCCCTGCAGAACAAGATGGGAGAGAAAGTGAGTTAGGACTGCAGTGCGCACTGGCGCTTCCCCTGCCGGGGTGGCCGAAGAAGGTGGGGCTGCACCTGACTGGAAGGTGTGACGAGGGCTGGGGACCAGCTAGGGTGACTTGCCCACCTTGTAAGCACTGCCTGTTGACCCGCCAAAGCTGAGGGAGAGGTGCAAGTAGCAGAACACACAGAGCTCCCAGGAGTAGCGAGGCCTCTCCAGCAACCCAACTCATTCTTTTCCCTTTGGCAGAATTTTAGGGAGCTGAGAATGAATCTTCCCACTCATCAAAACAATTACCCTTTTAAAAATCAGAAAAACAAATGTTTTGTTTTAAAGAGAAACAAAAACAGGATAATAACCTGAAATGTGAAGGGAACCAGGGGCCCAGAGAATGGACTGCAGCACAGACAACTTGTCTGTATCTATCTAAACTCTAAGACCTTTGGATGATTAGAAAAAACCAAGTGGAAGCCCAGTCTCCCGAGACTGTAAGGGGGAAGGCTCCCCACCTGGGGAAGGGCAGCAGGCGCACACAGGTTCATCTGCTGGTCACTGCTAGGATTTGGTTTTAGGGCAGCTGGACGATTCCTTTAAAAAAAGATAAACTGTTCTGATACTCTGTGTGGTGCCCAGGCTTGGAAGGGACACTGGGTCTTATTTCTTTCTACCCAAACCACCCAGGTTCACCTGGGCAAGTGGAGCTGGCAGGGCCTATTCCGGGCACCTCAGCGCTGCCTCTCACCCTCCCTTAGCTCCCTCCCAACAGCTGCTTCCACCGGGTATCCTTCAGAACCCAGTGCTATAGGGCGCACCTTCACCATGGCCTCACAAACTGCCATATAGTTACCAGGACACTGAGCCCTTGTGACCCCTTCTCCCACCCACACAGATCAGTGCACATCCTCTCCTTGCTGGGGGTGGAGGCAGGATGTACTTAGGGGACCCAGGGTGGGACTGTCAGAAAACACTCTGCTACCTTCCTCTGGGGCTTGAGGACCTGTGTGTGCATCAGGGTGGGGCAACAGCTAGGAACGTGTTTCCTCATCGTTGTCCCCTTGCCTGAATCTCCTGAAGGCTCGGGGGGACCTGCAGGCAGCTGTGCCTCTTTTTCAGTAGCTTCAGCCTTCTACTCCCCCCGCCCCGCCCCCCGCTGCAATGAGGGGATTTCAGCACACTCGCTGATTCTGCTGCTCAGGTACCCTGGCTGCCGAATTCCTGAAGGGACCACGACCATTCTGACCGTTCAGCCACGTGAGTGGCTGGCCTAGCTTCTCACTCAGTCTCACTATTCACTCTAGTTGGGGCCAAACCTCAGACCCTGAAACTCTTTTCCAGGGGTCAGGACATTTTTTCTAGAAAGGGCCAGATGAATCTTCAATTGCAGCACAAAGGCAGCGGCCCACAATATGAAAACCGTTAGACAGGACATGGGTCTCAAGGCCTAGGGAATTCTAAATGTCGTTTCTTGTTAACTGCTAAAAATGTGGCATAGCATTTTGCAGAAACAACTGTAAACAGAAGAGCTGACCTGAGCTCAACTGGGATGAAAGCGGCCAAGTGCAAAGAAAAAATTAACATGTAATTGCCCAACGGTGTGCATAAGCAATGGCGAAGCCATCTGGGGAGGCGGAGCTTTTGGTGTGAATACAGCCTTTTACTTGCTGCACGCATCTATAAAACTACTGTCATGCCAGCCCAACAGACCACCCTGAACCCCTTGAGTTCAGTAACAAAACTTCCTTTACAAAACAGGTGGAGGGCTGCACTTTGCTGACTCCTGCTCTTTTTCTGATGAAAACTTTCCCTGTTTCTACAACTTCCTCTCGGTATCCATGCGATCCCCCATGTAGCTGCCGGTCGGCCAGCCCGGCCAGCCCCACTCATCCCCGTTCTGGGTTCACACACCTCCTCGGTCAGCCTGGGTGCCATGGTCAGCTCCCTTTCCCACCCAAGGCTCACTGTCCCCTTTTCATGGTACTGGAGAAGAACGCCGGCTAATGGGGTCACATAAGTTACTCCTCTTGAATGTCAGATTTTCACTACTCTTGGGTGGTTAGTTCAGTTCAACATTGGTTCACTGCGGACTGAGCTCTTCTCTTTGAAAATTCTCCTCCCACAGTTTGGTGACAGCATCAAAGGTCTCCTTTCACCTCTTTTACCTTCTGCCTGTCCCCGTCCCTTTCTCCTACCCCTTACATATAATTGATCCCCAAGGTTTTGTCTAAGGGCTGCTTCTTCCTTCCCCAAGTTGATTTCATCCACTCCCTCAAACTAAACTAGCCCCCTTAAGAAACTGTTCAAATCGATCATCTCTAGCCACCACCTTGTGCCGAAGCTTAAGACTTGAATTTCCAAATGCCTAGATAACCTGTTCATTTAGGTATCCTGCCAGTACCTCAAACGCCGAGTATTCCAGTGGAATGAAGCCAGCGCCTTCTGCGCTGTTACTACCGTTAATGGCACCCTTCTCCTTCTAGTCATTAAGGCTGGAAACTGGAGTCACCTTTGCGGCCTGCCTTTCAGAGTCTCCAACATCTAAAACTTAGGTAGTTGCTGAGTCCTATGTGGTCTGCCACCTCCACGTTTTTCTTTAAATGTGTTGTCTACAGTTCCAGACCCTCCTCACCCGTCCCCAGGGCTAGCAGGACAAGAGCCTCTTATCTTTCCATCCCTCTGCATTCCAATCCTCCTCCTTAAGGAGAATTCCGACTCCATCTCCCCAGCCTCATGTCTTTGAACTCCTCCTACTCAGCACATGTTACACTGCTTACTTTACCTTTTATCATTGCTATTGTTCTTTAATATTTCATTTTTATTTTTTTTAAATCCTCACCTGAGGACCTTTTTTTCCATTGCTTTCTAGAGAGAGGGGAAGGGAGAGAGGGAAGGAGAGGAAAATTGATGAGAGAGAAACATTGACTGGCTGCCTCCCATACATGCCCAGACCAGGGATTATATGCGCCTGATCAGGGATTGAACCTGCAACTCAGGCATGTGCCCTGGCCTGGAATCGAATCCACAGCCGTTTGGTTATGGGACGAAGCTCCAACAACTGAGCCACACCAGCAAGGGCAGCTATTGATTTTTAAATGGCACACACAGAATGCAGTGTATCTGAAAGGTGATTAACAGTATTAGGTGCTCTGGAAATTATACTCAAATCTCCACTCCCAATATTCCTCATGTAGATTGGTAGGGGGCTCAGTCAACTCCACGATAAGCTTCCAGGGACAAGGAGTATGCTTCAGTTATGTCTGCGTCCCCACACCTAAGAGAGCACCTGGCACAAGGCTGATCTCAAACCATCATCTGTAGAATTAATGGCTGCACAAACAAGACAGCCCTACACTCCCAATCCCTTCTCTCTTGTCCCTCTTGCTGCGCATGACCACACACCCGAGGCCGAGCTGCGTGTGCACAGACTGGGAGCCTGGCTCACCGAGCTGAATTAGGAAGATTTCAGTGCTTTTTCTGATTAGTTCTTTAAGTGACCTTGGTGCAAAGAACTGTTTCAAAGTGGCTAAAGTCAGTTCCCAGCTAAATGCTTTCTAGATTTAAACTGCCTATACCTACAAAACATTCCCATGTTCATGTACATAAAATGTAGAATAAATCAGGACAAAGTCATGCTATGGAAGAGTACTCACAGTTTTTTTTTTAAAAAAAAGTGTTGCAATCTATTTGTATTCACCTGGAGAAAATTTAGGAATAAAATGTTAAATTAAGCAAACAAACAAACAAAAAAAAAACCAAAAGAAAAAAAGCAAGCTGGAGGGGAACACGTATGCTATAACCGCCTTTCGGTTAAACAAAAGAAAAACCCCATAAATACATGCGTGTGTCTGTACACACTGGAATGAGCACAGAGAAAAGAAAGTCTACATTTGTTAACAACAAATTACTTTAGGGAAAGATTAGAGGGAGATTACTAATTTTTTCTCCCCCCTGCCCCGCACCCGAGGCCCCTGAAAGCCAAGCCCAGCCACCACTTGACAACGACAGCCGTTCGGAGAGTCGCTGCTCGGAAGCGAGAGCAAGCAAGTGGGAAGCCAACTCATGGCGATCGCTCCAAACCCCTCCACATCTCTGCTCACCTACTGCACGTCTATTTATTATGCAGACTGTGGAACAAGCCATTTAACATTTACTGCCTTACAAAACTGCACTCCACCCAGTCTCATACATTTAGACTCAAGACCCACTTTCACCACAGGGGCTCCAGGTGTCTCTAATTCTTTTAAAGAAGGGAGTTATATCTGCGTGTGTGTGTGTGTGTGTGTGTGTGTGTATTATATGATTGTGATGGTAGTTATAAGGCTATCCGTGCTTTGATTCTAGTGAGTCAAAACTCAGAATTATACACTCAAAAGGGTAAGTTTTACTGCATGTTAAATTTACCTCCATTTTAAAAGACACATAAAACACATACAAGGTGAGCTGTAACAATCTTTTATTCCAAAATCATAAGGATGTTAATTCTGGAACATAACAATATCACACTTAAGCACACCATGACATTTTAGGTGAAATGTTCAGATTAAAACTATAAATTATTACGCCCATATAATTATTCTACCAACTACATTCAAGCAGGTGTTGCTTCTGTTGGACCCTGCATGTTTTTTTTTAAATAGAGGTAAATTTACATACAGTAAAACTTACCTTTCTTAGTGCGTAATTCTGAATTTTGACTACATGGAGTCAAAGCACACATGGCCTGTAACTACTACCACAATCAAGATACAGAATATTTCCATTTCCCAAAAACATTCTCATGTACTTTGCAGTCAACTCCTTCCACCTCCAACTAGACCCTGGCCAAGCACCCATCTGTTTTCTGTCCTTTTAGCTTTGTTTTTTTCCAGAACAAAGCTAAAGGGACTCACAGTATGCAAGCCTATTGCTTAGCATAAAGCACTTGATATTCACCCACGTTGTTTCATCATTTTTTCCTTCCTTCCTTTTTTTTTTTTTTGACAAGCAGTAGTCCATTCTACAGATGGGCCCCCCTCCCCCACTTTTTAAAATCTCATCACCTGTTGAAGGACATTTGGATTTTTCCAGTTTTTAGCCATAATAGACAAAGCTCCTATAAACTTTCTCCTGCAGGTTAAGAAGCGTGGTTTTTCATTTCCCAAATGCCATCAGGAAGTTTAAAGGGTGCAGAGAGGAGAATGCTAAAAGTAAAAGCACGTTGTCCAAGTGGGAATAAAGAGCGGGTGGGGGCGTGCATCGGAGGTCCAAGCAGCAAGGGAGAAGGGGCTTTGCCTTGACCTGGGCTCAGGTCTTGCTTCTCCGACCGGGGTGCATTTCCCTCACAGGCCCTTTTACATGTATCACTCAACACTGCACTGTTGATTAGCATGATACAAATTACGAGAACAGCAATTCTGCTTGACAAGAAAACACGCGCGGGTGTTCACGCACACTCACAGCGCACACAGACCCGGGACGGAAACACCACCGCACAGGAAGTGGGCCAAGGCGCCGAGTTCTGGGTGGCCCACACTTACCTGCCTCGGGTCCATGGCGCCCCGGAAGCATGTCCAGGCAGCGCGACCCTCCCCGCGGTGGGACCCTCCCCGCGGTGACGGTCGGTGTCCAGGGGCCAGGCTTCCGCTCGTGGCTTCGCAGACGAGGGGGTGTCCTTGGAGTCCAGACAGGGAACACCCCTGGGCAGGCGGCGGGTGAGCTGAGCTGTGAAATGGCTCCGGTTCAATTTCACTTTCGTTTCTCGGCAAGGACAGCCCCTTTGGAAAGTTTGGTCGAGGGGAGGGGCTTGAGCAAAGCTAACAGGAGCCGCTGGGTTTCACGCTGATTATAGCTCTAATCCTTCCTTGCATGAGTACTGGGCGGGATGCTCTTTCTTTAGGAAAACATTTGTAAATTCTGAGCTCGTAGTGCTACTAACTGGCCCTCTCAGGAATACAGGGGATAAAGCAAAGGAAAACAAAGACAGCACCAGGAAGCCCAACACCGGAGAAATGGCCTTAGGCTGTGTCCTCCCTCCGACACCCTGGTCCAGCACTAACGACTGTGGAAAGCCGTGAGGTGGGGTTGAGGGGCAGATCTCTTCAACTGGCTAACACGCCCACTGTGCCTTACTTCCTCATATTCCTTTAATAGGATAAACCGACGCCACTAAAATGCAAGACAATAACAGCATCTGAACAATTTAGGATCGACATCATAAAACCTTCCCACTGCCACCATTCAGCCGTCCAAGCGAGAGTGAAGTCTTTTACCTGCTTGTCCCCTTAATCTTCTTCACAACAGCTTTACCAGGAGGGCACGATTCCCAAATTACAGAGGTGGAAAATGAGGCTTTCCAGGGCTGACTGTGGAAAACTCATCATCATTACACTCGCTCCAGTTACACCATGACTTTCCAAAAGATCACTTGTATTATCTGGAGGGGGAAAATTCAGTTGATTCCATGATAATGCTTATATATCTGCTGTACTTTGTTCAAGATGTCTAGGATAATAAATTCTATATATCAACTTCAGTGCTCAACGAACCCTCACCTGTGAAGATTTTCTTTTTCTGTGTTTAATTTTATCCCACTGCTTTTGAGATTTACAAAACGCCTACTATGGCATTATCACCAGCTGATGTCCCTTCTCCACTGTCCCCATATTCCATTCACCCTAAGTGTCGGTCGCCCCAGATTCCACAGGTAGTGTAGGCCGTGTTCTCTCTTGCTTCTGTGTTTTTGCACATTCTATTCCCCAGCCTAGAATGTGCTTCCTCCATTGCTTCTGGTAAAGCGGCCTTTCAAGATCTGGTTCGAGTATTACCTCTGAGGGAGCCTTTCCTTACGCTGGGTTGGGCGAGCAGGTGCCATTTGTGGTTCCTCATTTTGTCTTTGTTACTCTGCACTTACCCTACTAGAGCATGTTCTCCATCTCAGAAAATGCCCCGTTGAATCATCTGGCACTTTCCTAAGCACCTGACATGTGCCAGACATGTGTTAAGTGCTGAGGATATGACATGCACAAGAACCCCCATCTTCCAGCTAAGAGTCAGCCAGGTGGGGAAGGCTGGTGCTTGATGATGTGCTGGTTCTTGGCTTGGGTGGTGGCGCCATGTATGGTTGCTTTCCAATAGTTCACTGTTACATACTTGCTCTTTATGCTCTATGTCATAATATTATAAGGTGAAAAAACAAGAATTTCTTGCTATAACAATTCCAGCCTAACTCCCCGCATTCTATTTTCCATTTAAGTCAAAATAACCTCTGCTTTCTTGCCTTTGGGCTAAGCAACCCCACAGCCCTTAACCCTTTTACAAGAATATTCCAGAAGAGCCTTAATCACAACAACTGGGCAGGGGAAAGTACATTGCTGCTTCCCCATCCCTTTTATAATCTAACATAGGATGCAGTGGCGAAGAGGAAGGGAAATTTGTTTTCTAAGCAGAGGGTCAGTTGGGCCTTGAAAGGACAACTGCTCTTGTAATTTAATCTTAGCAGCTCAAGTAACTGCAGCCAGGCTTATTCATAAACATTTCAGCCTCCCCGCCTCCAGCAATTGTTTCGGCTCCCACAGGGTTGTGAGGTGGTGACATAAATCTTTGTGTTGTTCTACAGTATGGACTTGATAAGTTGGATGAAGCTCTTAAAAAAAAAACAAACCAAATGTAACAAGTTGATTAGAGAAAATTTCCAAAAATACAGAAAAGCAAACAGTCAAAATGCCCCCTATTCCTCTCTTGTTAATTCACCAGTGCCTTCCCTTCGCGTGTTTTCCCTGTGCATAACGGCACCAGCCCTCGCCGGCGCTCCTCAGCGGATGCAGGGCGCTCCCTCCCTGGGGGTCCGAGAGTGCCTGCTGCCCTGCTGTGAGGGAGCCGAGGGCTACTCACTAAGAACCACCTAAATGATTTAAGAGTTACCATCGAAAATAAGGTGTGCACAAAAAGCCCCTCACTCGGAAGCCTGGCTTTCACGTAACACTGCCAAGCGCCGGCTCCGTATGTGCCTTCACGGGCCTCAATGTTCCTGTCTTGGGGAAGAACGTTATTATCTGGCTACTGAGCTGGTTTTAGTTTCCGATCCCCACTATTCTTGCTTTTTCACTATAAATAACTATTCATCTGGCTTGTTGTGGATATTCTGTTTAACCTTGCTGTGTGCAGGAACGCGGATTTACAAGTCTTTTTAGTCTACAGTTTCCTATAACCAGACTACTGCACACATGCGCTACATCCAGTTGGATCGCCTATTCCCTACAGTAAAGCAGATGTCTGCGAACCCCTTCAACATTTGCTCCTACAGGGTTACAGCAACACAACCGTCCTGCCTGTGAGCATACGCTACTCAACTTGCAATGTATTACCAAAAAGTAATAGGTAATATATTGAGTTATTTTTAATTACTGGGCCATTGTTTTAGAAAAGGATATGCACATAAACTCATGTTCTTTAGTTCTAGGTAATACAAGTACATAATATACATAATAAGCAATTCACAGAGTTGCAAGGCACAAATTTATTGTCCTTTTTTTGTTTCTTTTCATTATCATTGGGTTTTTTATTTCACTGTAACAGTTCATGCCACAGCAACATAATTTCAAAAATCTCAGGGTCTTCCCACAGTACCCCCCCCTTGCTTTGGTAATCTGCAAGGCTTTCTGTAGACCTGTGAGTGAGTTGCCCAACCAGCCAAGTGGTGCTCCATAGCTGTATTCATGCTGCTGTCTATGCTCCATTGATGTTAATGACTAAATTGGCTTTTAAAGTTACAAGCAACAAGAGATGCCTCAGGTATCCCCAGAAGGAACAAGTCTCCAAAAGTGGACAAGTGCTTGTACCCTAAGTTATCCAGTATGTGAAAAGTGGTGCTTATAACTACCTATAGGCGCCAGGCATTGTGATAGTAGGTATTATCATATATTAAGACTATCATATTAGTATCAAAACACCAACAATGGCTAACAGGCCTGTGCTGAATATTTTACATTGTAAGTGTAAACAGTTAATGTACATTTAGTCTCATAACTCCACAAGATTACGCTATATGACTTGGGATTTTATGCATTAAGTCTGGACGCCCTAGAACTGCCTTCCTATGCTAGGCTGGTACAGCATGTACCACCTGACTGCCCTCTAGTTTGGCTCTGACCAGCACAGAGAAGTTCAGCTACTGGCCCGCATCTGGGTTCCACTGAGTCAGGATCTAAAGCGGGGGGTCACCTCTCCCTCACTTTTGACTTTTCTTCCTCTTCTTCCCCATGACCCAGCCCTCACAGAGAATGAGTGGCTGGGCTGAGTCCCACCTTCCAGCGAGGGCAATGTCCCCATGTCCATGGCTTGCAGGAAGCAGAGGGGACAAGTGCAGCCTTCTTCTAGACAGGCCTGAAGACAGCCTCTGCCCAAGTCCTGCAGGGTGTTCTAGGGAAGCAGACTGACTTCACCAAGAGCCAACTGCAGAACGCCAATTTGCCAAATGGCCAATTCCCTAAATAAACAATTTACTAAGCAACCAATAGGCTGAACTGATTTTTTTTTCCTTTAAGCTCTTAATTGACCAGTTTTTATTCTGTCTTCATAATAGTATTAGAGAAAATGTACCCTGCCCATGTCCCTGTTGCTGTAGAGCTGGAGTCTAGGGGACAGAGGGGGTTGGGGTGGGGAGAGGCTGAGGTGCTCTTGTAGAACTGATTTTTCAATGAACTGATTTTCTGGGAACTGATCTAGAGCCATTTCAGGTGTCTACAGTCTTCTTTCCAAAGGGAATGAACAAGGCTTTGCTCTTCCTAACACATATCATTAAGAGCATTACCCTCAACACTGACAAGTTCACAAAAATTTCCATCTACACACATAGAAAAGACAGTGCAGAAAGAGACTGGAAGATTCTGGCCTTAAAGACTGGAGTGATGTGGCCACAAGCCAAGTAATGCAGGCAGTGACCAGAAGCTGGAGGAGGCAAGGAATAGATTCTTCCCTAGAGCCTCTAAAGGAGCGCAGGCCTGCGACACCTCAATTTTGTCCCAGTGATACCGATTCCTGACTTTTGGCCTCCAGAATGGCAGGAAAATTAATTTGCTGCTTTAAGCCACTAAATTTGTCACTGCTGCTCTATGAAACCAATACACCATCCTTGATGGGCAGGGCCAGCACAGACCTTGCTCTGCAGGTGGGGGTTCTGCATCTGAGGCTATGGAAGGGAAAGGGCCGAAACCGACCAGCTGTCCTTGATGACACATGCACAGCTACAATTCCCACTTTTTAGTTAAACCAAACAGCACAGCCTTCTCATTGCTGGCCAGCAGAATTAGAGCTTTTTATGTTATTTGAAAAAAGGATATTCTTTAATAGAACGAAGATTATCATAAATAAAATAAGAAATGAGAGCCACCATTACCACTATTACCTTATTTCCCCAATTGTGAGATGTACTCCAAACATTTCTGATATTGGGATGTGAGTTGTAACACGTGTACATTTCACAGAGTAGCTCCCAAAAGCTATTATTAAATCGATAGCATGTTCTTATACTCAATAGTCTTAGAGTCAAATAGTATTTAACATTGATTTGTAAATTCTAGCATATTCTATAACACAAAACAAATAAAAGATAAACTATTAAAAAAGGAAACAAACCCAGATTATTTGCAGATGATAAGATCATAACCCTAATTGATACAGGATTACCTAAAAAACTCTTAGAACCATCATCAGTCAAGGAATGTGGCTGGATATGAGAGAAATATACAACCTCCTTTATGAAAAATACTATATTCTTAGTAGCAAATAAACCATTATTAGAAAGAAACATTTATGAATAATCTTAAGAAATGTGCAAAAGTATGAAACTCTGCTGATGAATACACATATGTTAAATAGAATATACCCCCCAAATGTGATGGTCGAATAGTTTATAAATGACAATTAGTGCCAAATTAAATAGCAGTTTACTGAAAATTCTAATGAGGGTAGAGACAGTAAGGAGTGGCTACCTAATGAAATGATTAATCTAAAGTTCCAGTGCAAGAACAAACAGGGAAGAACGGCTAAAATAATTTTTTAAAAAAGGACAGCTATACTGATTAAGTCTAGGCAGTTCTGGCATAATGCAAGAATGGAGCTGCAGACTAAGAGCAGAAACACAGTGCTCAAAACAGACCCTCCTGTGTGTATGGATCCAGTGCCTGACAGGTAGGGAGCCTAAAGCAGCAGTGAGGGGGAGGAGGGTTAGTCAGCAGGGAGAGCCGACTGGTTGGCTTTTTGGAAAAAACAAACAATTGATAGCCTTGTCTTATATGAATAAACCAATATAAATTATAAGTGGATTGAAAGGCTTGTAAAGCATTTTAAATAAAAACACTAATAAACAAACAGTGCGCGTGACTGGGCCGGTATCACAGCGCTGGAATACATCCCAGAAGAGAACCCTGGCATCTG